TTATTTTTCAATATACATAATTGAGTAACAAACATTTCTCTTATTTCGGTATGCAAAGATGGATAACAATCATTTCTCATACTTCAGTTTGTGTAGATGAACAACAGTCCTTTCTCGGATTGCTAAACCCGTCAGGGTGATTATATAACAATTCGTCATTTTGAGAACGGATTAACAGTAACATTGGTTTCGTAAAACGTAACAATGCGTAAATAATATACCAGCTGTGTATATGATGTGGCTTCATGTCAGTTTACAATGGCACAATCAAATATCTATATGTGTCGGAGATATTACGAATATGTAGTCTATGTTGTCTGCGTCAGTCCTCGTGTGTGGTAGCCGTGACTGGAGAGATCGTTAGGTTCGTCCTTGTGGTAAGGTTTTGGTTATAGTCTACAGCTAGTGTATATAGTGTCAATTTTCGGTCTTACCGTGTGGTGCTCTCGATTGTGTCCCTTTCCCTACTTCTGATTGCCTCTGTCTAGAAATTGGGTCCAAGGTTCCCAGGTTTGTTTGTAGTGTGCGTATCTATGGGTGAGTGAGAAGGTAAGTTCTTCCATGACCCTAGTGTCTTCCACTTTTTGTATCCATTCCCTAACTGAGGGTGCTAGGATCTGTTTCCATTTTATAGGTATTAGTAGGTTTGCTGCCGTCAGTAGATGGTTGATGAGGTGGAGTCGTGTCTTAGGGATGTCGGTTGGGGGTAGCAAGAATAGGTAAGATTCTGGGAGGAAGGGTAGAGAGATGTCTGTGATGTGTTTAATCAGGTCTGAGATTTTTTTCCAGAAAACATTTATTATAGGGCAAGACCACCATATGTGTGCGGATGTAGCTGGGGTTTGGTTACATCTCCAGCAAAGGTTCCGGGTGTTTGAGTATATTCTACTCAATTTGTCTGGTGTATAATGCCATCTGGTAATTTTTTTGTAGTTACTTTCTTGTATGGTGCTATTCGTTGTAGTAGAGTGAGCCTTGGTTAGAATTTTCATCCAGTCGGTGTCGGGGATTGATGTGTTCAGATCGGACACCCATGTTTGTGTAAATGGTGGGAAACTAGTATTGTTGTCTTTTTGGAGGAGTTTGTACATAGTTGAGAGGTGTTTGCTTTTGATCCCCTGCGTTTGGCATAGATTTTCGAATTCTGTCTGTGGCCGGAGTTTCGTTAGAAGGGTATTGTCGGCCTTAAGAAAGTGTGTCAATTGTGCGTGTTGGAAAGTGTGCATCGTTGTTATCCGGGAGTCAACTATGAGATCTGTCAGTGGTTTAATGTTTCCCCCTTGTATCACATCTTGTAGTGTGAGTTGTTGTGATTGTGTGTTGTGTTGTAGGAATTGGGTTTGACAGCCCGGTGGAAAAAGAGGGTTGTTTGTTATCGGGTAGCGCGGAGATGGGTGTGGGGATAGTACTTGGGAATCCCTGATTTGGTTCCAAACCTTCAGTGCGGGGGTGATGGTCGGGTGTTGGGAGAAGGGTGGCTTTTGTAGCATTCGCCCTTTGGGGTGCCAGACTACATTGTGTGCGTGTGTGGAGAGGAACGTCTCTTCTATAGTTCTCCATTGTCTGTGCGGGTGCGGTGCTGTCCATTCGTATATGCGATGTAGTATGACTGCCTTATAGTAGGTTTCAATATCAGGTAAACCCAAGCCCCCTCTATTTTTCCTTTTAGTCAGAGTTGTGTAGCTGAGTCGAGGGTGTTTGTGCGCCCAAATGAATTCCGAGAAGAGCCGTCTCATCGTAGAGAAGAAGGCTTTTGGGAGTGCGATTGGTAAAACTTGTAAGAGGTAAAGTATTTTGGGTAGAGTGGTCATCTTTATGATGTTCACCCTACATTCAGTAAAAATTGTGCGCTCAGATCTGAGCTATCTGGGGATATGTTGAATTTACCTGTTTTATGCAATGGCTGCACAGTTATATATTTTTATGTATTTTATTGTCTTTTGCTGCCATGTGTTCAATGGAGTTTTGCCTCTGTCCTTGGAGATAATTGGATTACTTCCCAATTATCTTCAGGATAGAAGACTCTGTGGAACTGGTTTTGGGCAGAAAAGCCATGCTTCATTTGGTCACAAAGGACTTCGATCTATCTTTTGAACCAATGGACCAATTTGGATGAAATTTACATATGTTTGTATTTGGAGTATGCTGATTCTGAGAATGTATGTTTTATATGATGTGAATATAATGCATACTTTTAAAGTTATGAATAATGTAAAAAAACTGTATTTCTCTGCCTGTGATAATTACATTACCCATTGTGTAAGGTAATTGTATCACAGGCAGAGGGGAGGATTTTGTGTGGGAGTGTCTGAGTGTATTGTACGTGTTTATTGGTTGTTTCCAAAACCCTGTGAGTGGTACGTGTATATAAGAACAATAAACCCACAGCTCTGTCTGTTCCTGCTTGACCCTCAAAACGGAGCCTTGTCTCGTTCTTGGGGGGATTTATTGTATGCTGTTCCAGTTTGACTGCTAGGAGTGTAAACCTATTCGTATGGTTTTTCCTTTTCGGCTGTTTACGGCATTCACATGGTTCCGGTTCTGCTGTTTACGGCATTCATATGGTTTCCTGTTCGGCAGATTGGTGTCTTTGGTAGTTGCCTGTGTATCTGGAAGGGGAATATCCTCTAAACAGCGGTTTAACCCTGTTATGCCTGGTGGTGCCGTAACATGTGGCAATTCGTCTTTTTAAACGGTGTGTTCAGCCGGAGCTCCACACTTGCACGTCTTGTTAGCTGCTCAGCTAGCCACGCCAACACGTTAACAAACTTTTTGTCCTTACACTCTGCATCAGCATCAGAAATTTTCCCATAAGAAAGCATTGATTCAATGCTTTCCTATGGGAAGGGCCTAAGGGAACTTGCTACGCATGCACATTAGCACCCCCTCATCCGTAACATCGGAGAAGGCAGAGCCGACCCAGCGCCAAGTGACATCAGAGCTGAGATCAGGTTTTAAGAAAATAACACTTTATTCAGATCAGGAGTGGGGGAGGCAGAGGGAACTATAGTGCCAGGAAAACAGCTTTGTATTCCTGGCACTATAGTATCCCTTTAATATATGGAGTTGCAGCCACATGGTTTGCTGTTTTCCTACTTAATGTAACAATAAAATGTCATAACATGTATACATAGTGTATGTATTTTAGTTTGAGCAAAATGGCTATTCCTCACATAAAAGGACAGTTGTGTTTCTTCCCCTGGTTCTTGATAAAACCATTTTTAAAGTGGGTTAACCAAAATTAGTGGTCATAAGGCACCTGTGTCAACTAGCTATTGCTAATTCTGAAGGAGGCATGTAGTGGTTAAGGTGTCTGTAGTGCTCCTTTTAAGATTATTTCTGAGATGATATGACACAGAGCATAATAGTGGCTGTCTGCAAATTGTTTTTGAACTAGATTGCTGCGGTGCTCCAATTTTTCAGCCTTGTTTGGCCCCAATGATTGATTTGCTTTAATATTGTAGGGTATACTTTCCAAATGATTTAATATTTTTGATAAACTTCAAAAATTTCAGCCTATCCAAATATCACAAACTTATCATATATATATATGTGTGTATATATATATAAGTATAAAAAATATATAAAAATATTCAAAATTTAAGTTTTCACCATACTATTTAAAAATAAAATAAAAAGTTTGTCCAAAAATATTAAATCATTTGGAAAGCTTATCCAGCAATATTAAATCGAGACCTATGTTTATATTATATATACTATATTATGAAGTTTTGTGAATCTTAGCAGTAGGGATTCAGGATGCCCTTGGCTGAAAACCGAAAATGACTCCCCCCCCCCCCCAAATAATTGTTAAAAAGTTTTTTTTCCCCTATAAATTTATTAATGTTAGACTTTTTAATGAATTTAATTAATATTAAAAACTTCCATTCTCCCTTCTCTTTTAGTGGCCCCCCCGCTTAATGTTCCTCTCTCCCCCCCTTTTTAGTGTTTTTTCCCCCTCCTCCCCAGTCCCATAGTGTTCTTTCCCCCCTCCTCTCCAGTCCCATAGTGTTCTTCCCCCCTTTTCCGAAGTCCCATAATGTTCTCCCCCTCGTCTCAGTGTTCTTTTCTCCCCTCCCGTGTCCCAGTGTTCTTCCCCATCCCCTGTCCCATAGTGTTTCCCCCTGCCCTTTCCTATAGTGTTTTTTTCTCCCCTCCCCTATCCCAGTGTTCTGCCCCCATCCCCTGTGCCATAGTGTTCTTCCACCCCTCCCCTGTCCCATAGTATTCTCTCCCCCCCTTCCCTGTCCCATAGTGTTCTTTTCTTCCCCTCCCCTGTCCCATAGTGTTCTTTCCCCCCCGTCCCAAGTGCAGTATTGACTTTTCATGTTATCATTACTATCTTTCATTGTGATATATAATCATCTGAATTCTTAATGCAAGCATGTCTGTTAAACGATGCACTACAAAAATAAAAAATATTTAAAAAAATAAATATATATATATATATATATATATATATATATATATTTTATTTATTTTTTTTGGCGAATTTGACCCGTTTTTGCCTGAAATGGGATAGGCCGTTTTCGGCCAAAATTTCGGTGCATCCCTACTTAGCAGTATTGCTAAATTACGTGCTATTTTTGCACGCATGATAATAAAAGCTATTCTATTTGGTGAGGGTTGCTCTTGCGAAATGTGTGACTATAATGCTGTAGTGTAGCTGTGACCACCTCCCACCAGAAGGGTATTTCTATATAATCAGTTTCAAAACAACAGAATGAAAAACACCAATGCTGTTCTTTTAAGGCAAGAGCAATAATTCAGACAATAATAATTAAGCCTTTCAGTGCTGCTTTTTCCACAGCCATGCTAACATAACTATCTCTTGAAAGCAAAACTTTTATTTATTTTTATAAGTTAACAACCTAAGATTTTATCCTATGAGAAAGGCAGTTAATTTAACATTTATTTTTTTTGCAAATTATTTTGCAATATCTGTGGATATTATTTCAAGCTCCTTTTTTTGGACGAACTGCAGCTTTCTTTTTTACCACTTACTTATACTTGATTGGAGACCCAGTGATTTTCAGTTGCTCCAGCTTCTTCTCCTTGAGCTCGTACAGACGTGCTCTTGCTAAACTGAGGTCTTCCTCCCTCTGCTTGGTCTTCTGAATAAAACTGAGACATCTCAGTCTGTTCAGCTGTCCCCCTTCTTTAAGATGATAAGTTCTCTCCATGATCTGGCTCTGCTGCTTCTCAACAATCTCCTTCAGCATCTTTCTCACGCTCTCAAATTCTGCCTTGATCTTTTTTGCCTCTGCTACCAAAACAAGCATATCCTTTTCACTTCTTGAGGCCTGCCCTGCCATCTTGAGCTCATCATGTCCCTTATCAGTCTGGACTTTTGCAGTGGACAGGATACTCTGGAAGTCACTGGCTGAAGATATTATGGGTTTTCCAGATGGATCAGTAGGAGGAACTATAGGTTTGGGACCCAGGTCACTTCTGTCTGTTTGAATGGAGTCCGTTTTGTGACTCAGTGATGGCAAAGCCACAACCTTACCTCTTCTACCTCTATCTTTCAGCTCACTGGTGGAGTGAATGTTTAGCTTTATGCCAATAACAGCAAAACTCTCATCTATCTTAGAACTGAGAGCTCTATTCCCATAGTTTGGAATTCTGGTCCTATAGAAACCAGTGAGCCCGTGAAAAACCATGCCCTCCATGACTGTACCCAACCCAGGACTGACTATGAATGAGCTGTCCTAGTGTATGCTGCTAATGATAACTACAGCTTTGAGTGAGATCACAATGTTAGCATGCTGCATACTGAAAGTGTCATGTATATAGAGGTTTAAAAAATAATAATAATAATAATTAAATCCCACGCATGCCAGCCCTGTATGTGCATGTATCCACTTGCAGTTTAATGCCATGCCTGGCTATGCACAGTTTCACACACAAGCTTATATAACAAATAGGACTTTGCAAGTTACCAAAAAAGCCTGTCTATGTTGTCTAGCTTCATAATTCAATCGGCCCAATAGGTCTATTATATTATTAATTTTAGGATAAATTAAACCACTGCCAGCCCCACACACCTTGCCAGCTTTATTACCTCTTTTATGTTGTTTCTCAATTCTGCATCTTTCTGCCATCTTCCTAGCCATCTAGAAATGTATTACACATCTTGATCCCCACCACACTGTCTGTTTTAGATTTCTCTGCCTATATCAAAATATGTTTAAATGTCACCCTCTGCAAAAAAATAAAATAAATATATATATATATATATTTTTTAAATAGATCAGTTTAAAACTGGTCCCAAAAGAATAGTAGAGTGTACTTCTAAGCTCTAATAACTTTAAAGGACCACTATAGTGCCAGGAAAACATACTCGTTTTCCTGGCACTATACTGCCCTGAGGGTGCCTTAACCCTCAAGGTCCCCCTCCTGCCGGTCTCTAGGGGGTGAAAGGGTTTAAACTTACCTCTTTCTCCAGCGCCGGGCAGGGGACTCCTCCTCTCCTCCTCCTCGTGTGTTTGTATGTATATATATATATATATATATATATTTGAATGTATTAATAATAAATAAAACTTTGTGTGTGTGTATGGGTCTGTCTCTGTCAGTGTGTCTTTCTGTCTGTGTCTGTCAGTGTGTGTATCTGTCTGTCTGTGTGTGTGTCAGTCCAAGTGTTTGTCAGTAAATGTGTATGTTTAGGTCACCAGCCCCTCCGATCGCATGGGAATTATTTTTTTACTCTTTTTTTCCAGCGCTGGTCTGCCTTTCGTAGCTGAGATTATCAATTACGAATCATCTCCTCATAGAGATGCATTACATCAATTAATAGCATCTCTATGGAAAATGTTCAGTGCCTCCATGCAGAGCGTGGAGACACTGAATATAGGTGTTGTGCAGCACTGAGATAGGAGACACTTTAGTGGCCATTTGAGTGACAGCCACTAGAGGTGTTACTAGGCATCAATTTAAAAACTGCCTTTTCTCTGAAAAGGCAGCGTTTACATCGAAAAGGTCTGCAGGAACAGGCTATATACACCAGAGCCATTATATTAAGCTGTAGTGATTCTGGTGACTATAGTCGCTGGCTTATAGATGGAAAGCAAATTTGTCAAGCCCTGGATTAATTATCTATTGGGGGACCTGCCTGACGACTCCGGTAGAAGTACCAGAGAATTTAATTAGCAAGCCCTATATTTGACCCTGTAATTTTCAAAAAAAAACCATAAAACCTGTACATTGGGATTACTGTTAAACTTGTGAGACATCGCCAAACACAAATACGAGTGTCTTAGAGCCGCAAAACATATAATTACAATGGTATCATCAGTGAAAGTTAAATATTGAGTAAAAATGCAAAAAAAAAATAAATATGAACACTAACTTTGGCCGAGTATCAAGTGGCTACTAAAAAAGAATGGACATTCCCCCTTTTTTGAATACCCTGGGTTGTATAATTTTGCCAAAGGTATGCAGGGGTAATTAGGATTCCTGGGCTGCTATAAGGTCTTAAAGGCAACATAAGTACAGCAAGCCAATCTAACAAATGTCAATGTGTAAAAACTGAAATGGGCAAGCTCTTTATTTGACCCTGTAACTTTCCAGACTACCACGAAACCTATACATTGGTGGCATTTTTGTACTTACGAGATATCACAGCATAGAAATATGTGTGTTTTATTGCAGTAAAAGCTAATAGTATTGCAACATTCCATTAAAATGCTATGCAGAATTTGCAGAAAATTACCAAATTTCTTATTTTTTCACATATTTAGATGGCAGTCATAATAAACTGTGTTTTGTACATATCTATTTATGTGAAATGAAAGTCCTATTTCACCTGAACAAAATAATATATAAATGTGGGTACAAAGAATATGAAAGAGGTAAATTATGGTTGAACATACATTTAACCTTTTAGGTCCATGCTTTGCTATGTCCCTGTGCCACTCGAGTCCTGGGATGCACTGCTGATTTAGGTCCATTTAGTTTGGTGGGACGTTTCATTATTGAGTATGTCCTTAGGGGAACAGATTGTCATAATCTCAGAATTTGTCTTTAAGGAGATCAATTTCAATTGACTTAAAGGACCACTATAGTGCCAGGAACACATACTTGTTTTCCTTGCACTATAGTGCCCTGAGGGTGCCCCCACCCTCAGGGTCCCCCTACTGCTGGGCTCTGGGGAGAGGAAGGGGTTAAACACTTACCTTTCTCCAGCGCCGGGGCGGGGAGCTTTCCTCCTCCTCTCATTCCTAGCGACGTCATCGGCTGAATGCGCATGCGCGTCAGGAGCCGCGCGCACATTCAGCCAGTCTCATAGGAAAGCATTCATAATGCTTTCCTATGGACTCTGGCGTCTTCTCACTGTGATTTTCACAGTGAGAAGCACGCAAACGCCTCTAGCGGCTGTCAATGAGACAGCCACTAGAGGCTTTAGAGGCTGGATTAACCCTCAGTGTAAACATAGCAGTTTCTCTGAAACTGCTATGTTTATAAAAAAAGGGTTAACCCTAGCTGGACCAGGCACCCAGACCACTTCATTAAGCTGAAGTGGTCTGGGTGCCTATAGTGGTCCTTTAAGTGACTAGTATGATAGTGTGATATCTTTTTTCATTTTTGTAAATATCGGTTTTATTGTTTTTGTCGTCCAGTGTCATTTCTTTATGGAAGGTTGAGACTCGCAGGTCTCTTATGTGTCTGAAGTATGAAAGTATCAAACATCAATGTAATGGTTAGATGCGCAGGTCTGTGGGTATGATAGTAATTAGGAGACTCACAGGCCCCTAAGCATAGATTTTGTAACTGCAATAACAGGGATTTAAAATATGGAGCTAGAAAGCCTCCATTGTTGAGTTGTCAAGGTAACATAGGTAGTATGTAACACTTTCTTGTATTGTATTGGTGTGTGATATCTTTTCATTCACAAGTCTTTATGCTACCATATATGAGCTGGTTGGTTCCAGGGTGGAGACTTTACAAGTTTACGGCGTGTTGTCCACATATGTGGGATTAATGGCAATCTCTAATTATATCCTATGTTAATTATATTACGTAATACCATGTGTGCTAGATTCATCACCCTTTAATACTAGTTAATACATTTTCAGGATATGTATGACTGTATGTGTAGATTTACATGAACATGTTATGTCCATTTGGATTTTGTGCTCGAGAAAGTGCATTACTAACTCTGTGTATTTTCTCACCGCACCCATAAGAATTCACTTATGATTTTTCCTTTTTTTTTTTCTCATTTATATCATACCTAAGAGAAATAGCACTCTCTACATCTTAAAAGAGTTTGGAAGTTTGTATACAAATGATGGCTGATTTTAGAAAATTTGACCATTTCACAAATTTGATCAACTTTAAAAGGAGAAAAATAAGCTTCAAAGGCAAGTTTATCAAGATGGTTCACAATGGCCATACAAAAGGTGTATATTGCAGTCTACAAGAGTACTCTAAATAATCTAACTGCACATTGTACTAGAATAGTTGATGCTTCATTACCTGAAAGGACATGAGCACCAAAAGAGATGGTTTGTAACGCAGCAATTTGGGCATCAATGCACACCTTTACTTAGCATAACAGACTAGAATGCCTGTCCTTCTCAGAAGTGACTTTTTTGCATAAGGTGCTCCAGATGGTAGTTTAGCAGAAGAATTGACCAACCTTACTGATATTCTTTCTATTTCCCATCTGTACTGCTGCTATACGACAGAAAAAAACTGAAATATTACTTATTGTAAAAATAAATAAAAAACTAAATAAAATTCCTTCGTAGTAGTGGAAGGACAAACTCCCTCCCAGTTTAATAAATCTATTTTTGGGATGGTAATGTATGTGGGTGTAATTCTTGTACACAAACTGACCTCAGTTGTCCATGCTAATCCTGGAAAATAGGGGTGAGCAAGAAATTAAAAGTTTAACCATTTGCTTTTCACAAACCTGTTTAGTACAGGGCAAATATTCCGGTTTACAGCCCTTTAATGTTAAGGAAAAAATAATTTATCGGAAGTAACATTTCTGTTTTTCTTTTCATAACTTAACCAGCTAATTTCCTTCATCATTTCAAAAAATAACTTTGCATGTGAGATATTTAAGAAAAAACATTTATATTATTGGCAAATAATTTTGCAATATCTGCAGGTATTGCGTCAAGCTCCTTCTTTGGGGGTAAGCCACCAGTCGAGGAACCACAGCTTTCTTTGTCACCACTTATGCATACTTGATTGGAGACCCGATAATTTTCAGTTCCTCCAGCTGCTTCTCCTGATTTATTCTGGCTAGACTGAGATTTTCCTCCCTCTGCTTGGCCTTCTCAGTGGGATTGAGAAATTTCAGTCTGTTCCCCTGAAACTACTGCCTCAGCAGTCTCACTTATTTCTTCACTTGAGAAGTTCTCTCCATTATATGGCGCCGCTGCTTCTCAACTATCTCCTTCTGCACCTTTCTCATCCTCTCGAATTCTGCCTCATCCTTTTTTGCCTCTGCTACCAGAACAAGCATATCCTTCTCACCTCTTGAGGCCTGTCCTGCCATCTTGTGCTCCTCACGTCCCTTATCAGTCCGGCCCCTTGCAGCAGACAGGATTTTCTGGAAGTCACTGGCTGAAGTTATCATGGATTTTCCAGATGGAGCCTTAGGAGGAACTATAGGTTTGGGACCTAGGTCACTGCTGGCTGTTTGAATGGAGTCAAATTTGTGACTCAGTGATGGCAAGGTAAGGACCTTACCTCTTATCTCTGAGCTCAACAGCGCAGTCATTTCTTAGCTTTATGCCAAAAACAGCAAAACTCTCATCTTCCCGTGAGTTGAGGGCTCTATTGCCATAGTTCATGGCTTTGATCCTATTGAAACCATTGAACCCGTACGAAACACTCTGTGCCATGTCTGCATCCAACCCAGGACTGGCTATGAATGAGCTTTGTCAGAGTCTACTGTTATGATGACAACAGCTTTGAGTGACCTCACAATGTTAGTATGCTGCATACTGAAAGTGTCATGCATGTAGAGTGTTTTTTATTTTTATATATTAAATCCCACTCATGTCAGCTCTGTATGTGCATCTTTGTGTGTGTGCCCATTTGCTGTTTAGCACCACTACACAGTTTCACACACAGACTTGTATAGTAAATAGCACTTTGCAAGTTAAAGAAAACATGTATTATTTTTCTGGGTTCATAAATCTATTGATTCACAAATCAAGCCCATTATGTCTACTATGTTATTGATTTCAGGATAAGCTTAACCACTGCCTGTCCCACACACCTTGCCAGTGTGTGTGTGTGTGTGTGTATATATATATATATATATATATATATATATATACACACACACACACACAGTATCTTACAAAAGTGAGTACACCCCTCACATTTTTGTAAATATTTTATATCTTTTCTTGTGACAACACTGAAGAAATGACACTCTGCTACAATGTAAAGTAGTAAGTGTACAGCCTGTATAGAAGTGTAAATATGTTGTCCCCTCAAAATAACTCCACACACATTAATGTCTAAACCGCTGGCAACAAAAGTGAGTACACCCCTAAGTGGAAATGCCCAAAGTGTCAATATTTTATGTGACCACCATTATTTTTCAGCACTGCTTCTTTAGCAAGGCAGTGGTTGTCGTGGAGATGTGTTTGGGGTCGTTATCATGTTGGAATATTGCCCTGCGGCCCAGTCCCTGAAGGGAGGGGTTTGTGCTCTGCTTCAGTATGTCACAGTATATGTTGTCATTCATGGTTCCCTCAATGAACTGTAGCTCCCCAGTGCTGGCAGGACTCATGCAGGCCCAGACCATGACACTCCCACTTTGTACACCTCACCTGGTTGCCACCACACACGATTGACACCATCTGAACCAAATAAGTTTATCTTGGTCTCATCGGACCACAGGACATGGTTCCAGTAATCCGTGTCCTTAGTCTGCTTGTCTTCAGCAAACTTTTTGAGTGCTTTTTTGTGCATCTTCTTTAGAAGAGCCTTCCTTCTGGGACGACTGCCATGCAGACCAATTTGATGCAGTGTGCGGCGTGATGGTCTGAGCACTGACAGGCTGACCACCCATCCCCAATGCTGGCAGCACTCATATGTCTATTTCCCAAAGACCATCCTTTGCATATGACGCTGAGCACGTGCACTCAACTTCTTTGGTCGAACCATGGTGAGGCCTGTTCTGAGTGGAACCTGTCCTGTAAAACCGCTGTATGGTCTTGCCCACCGTGCTGCAGCTCAGTTTCAGGGTCTTGGCAATCTTCTGATAGCCTAGGTCATCATTATGTAAAGCAACAGTTCTTTTTTTTTTTTTAGATCCTCAGAGAGTTCTTTGCCATGAGGTGCCCTGTTGAACTTCCAGTGACCAATATGAGAGAGTGTGAGAGCGATATTACCAAATTTAACACACCTGCTCCCAGTGGCGTACATACCGCGGTCACAGGAGTCGCAACTGCGACCCGGTATGTGCGCTGTAACGGACCGTTAAGCACACAAGGGGTTGAAATCCGTTTAGGCGATATTCCCCTTCCAGATACACGAGCAGCTACTGCAAGCACCAATCTCCCGAACAGGAAACACACGAATTCTCCAACTCCCTAACTGGAACCATACGAATGCTGTAAACAGCTGAACAGGAAAAACCATACGAACAGTTTACACTCCTGGCAGTCGAACTGTAACAGCATACAATCAAATCCCCCCAAGAACGAGACGACACTTCGTTTTGAGGGTCAAGCAGTGATCTGTTTTATCTGGGCTACCTGCCCGGTATTTATGCAGGTTTCCCACCAGGTGGACAGTCCCATAGGGGACCTGGTGGAACACTGGGACACAAACTGGACAGTAACCAATCAGGACAGTTTAGCCTTAACCACTCCCACATGCACATTGTAATCCCTCCTCTCTCTATCCTGGAGATAATTGTGAAGTAATCCAATTATCTCCAAGGACAGAGGCAAAACTCCATTAGCCACATGTTAGTAAAAATACATAAAATTACTCAAAAATATATAACTGTGCAGCTATTGCATAAAACAGGTACATACATATCCACAGATAGCTTAGATCTTTGTGCACATTATTACCGAATGGCGCTCAGATCACATACATACAGTTCAATCGCCATGGAGCCAAAGTCTTTACCATAGTTTTTCGTTACACGAATGGGCTCCATGGAAGAGCTATCTGGGGTACCACGGTTCACTCAGTCAAAGTACCGAACGGACAGCGTTCGTATGAATTGCTGGAGATGGGAGGTTGGTGGCTCAGCGGTGTTCGTGCAAATAAATATCTGTTTTGAGTTCCATAGATTTTGAGCTTAACACCGCTGGCCGTTTGGGAGTTTAAGATGGCCGCTGCCACGTGTTCGGTTATACGAACAGCGGCCAACCAGCATTCACCAGTTAAGCTGCGGTTAACCGCAGCTTCGGGGAGGTAAATCACCGGCACACTCCTTGCCCAGGTGGCCCTCCCATTTGTGCGTTGGTTTGGTAGACTCAATCTACCGAACGCCCAGGCAGAAAGGCACGAACAAGCCTTTCTGCGGGGGAAAAGAACAGTGTTTAACATGGGACCATAGTCCAGAGGGAGCAGGCGAGCAGCCAGGCTTCTCCAGTGCTTCGTGGCGAGGTTGGTTCCGCCACAAACGCTAGTGCGACCAAGGCCGCATTTTTCCAGCGTCTTCTCCTGGGGGGCACAGGAGCTGACCACCTCAGGACCCCCCGAGGCTGTCGGTGTCATTTTACGGCCGGTTACTGCAGGTGGCGAGGGAGCACTGATCCTCCTGTTCAGCTCCCTAGTGTGCACCACAGTGATGCCGGAGCCAGAATATGATGTCACTCCGGCAACAGTAAGCGGCGTGCGAGGGAGCTGAACAGGAGGATCAGTGCTCCCTCGCCGCATGCAGTGACCGGCCGCCACTCGACCCCAGGGAAAACTGGAATCCCCTCAGCACTCCCAAAGGTAGGGAGGCTGGGGGATTAAATAAAAAAAATAAAAAAATAAAAATGTGAGTGTGTGTGTTACTGTTTGTATGTCTGTTAGTGTGTGTCTGCTAGTAAGTGTGTTAGTTTGTGTGTCAGTGAGTGTGTTACTGTGTGTGTGTCTGTTACTGAGTGTGTTAGTTGTGTGTTTGTGTGTTATTGATTGTGTGTATGTTAGTGAGTGTGTGTTTGTCAGTGAGAGTATGTTTTATAAGTGAGTGTGTATGTGTGTCTATCAGTAAATGTGTGTCTGTTAACTAGTGTGTATGCGTCTGTTCGTGAGAGTGTGTGTATACTTGTCAGTGAGTGTGTATATGTGTGTATCTCTGTGGGTCTGTATGTGTTTCTCTTGGTCTGCATGGGTATCTGTTTGTCTGTATGTGTATCTGAATGTTTGTCATTAAAGCACCACTAGACTAATATAGTCCTTAGGTCCCCCCCCACCCTTTTGGCCCCCTCCCGCTGGGCTGAAGGGGTTAAAATCCCTCCAGCACTTACCTTTCACTAGCGCCAGGCTTCCTTGGTGCTGGGATCTCTCCGCCGCTATCCGCCTCTCAGTTCCGAATGCGCATGCGCGGCAAGAGCCGTGCGCACATTCACACCGCCCATAGGAAAGCATTACTCAATGCTTTCCTATGGATGTACAGCGTCTTCTCACTGTGATTTTCACAGTGAGAATTGCGGAAACGCCTCTAGCGGCTGTCAGTGAGACAGCTACTAGAGGCTGGATTAACCCTCAGTGAAATATAGCAGTTTCTCTGAAACTGCTATGTTTTCCGCTGCAAGGTTAAAACTAGAGGGACCTAGCACCCAGACCACTTCATTGAACTGAAGTGGTCTGAATGCCTATAGTGGTCCTTTCAGTGTATGTGTATCTGCATGCACAGACATACATTCCGCGGTCACAGGGGTCATGTGTACGCCACTGCCTGCTCCCCATTCACACCTGAGACCTTGTAACACTGACCGAGTCACATGACACCGGGGAGGGAAAATGGCTAATTGGGCCCAATTTGGACATTTCCACTTAGGGGTGTACTCACTTTTGTTGCCAACGGTTTAGACATTAATGGCTGTGTGTGGAGTTATTTTGAGGGGACAGCACATTTACACTGTTGTACAGCCTGTACACGTACTGCTTTACATTGTAGCAGTGTGTCATTTCTTCAGTGTTGTCACGTGAGAAGATATGATATATTTACAAAAATGTGAGGGGTGTACTCACTTTTGTGAGATACTGTGTATATATACAGTTGCAAGAAAAAGTATGTGAACCCTTTGGAATGATATGGATTTCTGCACAGATTGGTCATAAAATGTGATCTGATCATGATCTAAGTCACAACAATAGACAATCACAGTCTGCTTAAACTAATAACACACAAAGAATGAAATGTTGCCATATTTTTATTGAACACACCATGTAAACATTCACAGTGCAGGTGGAAAAAGTATGTGAACCCTTGGATTTAATAACTGGTTGAACCTCCTTTGGCAGCAATAACTTCAACCAAACGTTTCCTGTAGTTGCAGATCAGACGTGCACAACGGTCAGGAGTAATTCTTGATCATTCCTCTTTACAGAACTGTTTCAGTTCAGCAATATTCTTGGGATGTCTGGTGTGAATCACTTTCTTGGGGTCATGCCACAGCATCTCAATTGGGTTGAGTTCAGGACTCTGACTGGGCCACTTCAGAAGGCGTATTTTCTTCTGTTTAAGCCATTCTGTTGTTGATTTACTTATATGCTTTGGGTCATTGTCCTGTTGCAACACCCATCTTCTGTTGAGCTTCAGCTGGCAGACAGATGGCCTTAAGTTCTCCTGCAAAATGTTGTGATAAACTTGGGAATTCATTTTTCCTTCGATGATAGCAATCCGTTCAGGCCGTGACGCAGCAAAGCAGCCCCAAACCATGATGCCCCCACCACCATACTTCACAGTTGGGATGAGGGTTTGATGTTGGTGTGCTGCGCCTTTTTTTCGCCACACATAGTGTTGTGTGTTTCTTCCTAACAACTCAACTTTGGTTTCATCTGTCCACAGAATATTTTGCCAGTACTGCTGTGGAACATCCAGGTGCTCTTGTGCAAACTGTAAACGTGCAGCAATGTTTTGTTTGGAGAGCAGTGGCTTCCTCTATGGTATCCACCCATGAAATCCATTCTTGTTTAGTGTTTTACGTATTGTAGATTCGCTAACAGGGATGTTAGCATTTGCCAGTGACTTTTGTAAGTTTTTAGCTCACACTCTAGGATTCTTCTTCATCTCATTGAGCAGTCTTGCAGTCATCTTTACAGGACGACCACTCCAAGGGAGAGTAGCAGCAATTTGTCTTACCGTGGACTGATGAACAGCAAGGCTTTTGGAGATACTTTTATAAACCTTTCCAGCTTTATGCAAGTCAACAATTCTTAATCATAGGTCTTCTGAGAGCTATTTTGTGCGAGGCATCATTTACATCAGGCAATGCTTCTTGTGAAAAGCAAACCCAGAACTGGTGTGTGTGTTTTATAGGGCAGCTGTAACCAACACCTCCAATCTCATCTCATTGATTGGACTCCAGTTGGCTGACATCTCACTCCAATTAGCTCTTGGAGATGTCATTAGTCTAGGGGTTCACATACTTTTTCCACCTACACTGTGAATGTTTACATGGTTGTTCAATAAAAACATGGCAACATTTCATTCTGTGTGTGTTATTAGTTTAAGCAGACTGTGATTGTCTATTGTTGTGACTTAGATGATGATCAGATCACATTTTATGACCAATTTGTGCAGAGATCCATATCATTCCAAAGGGTTCACATACTTTTTCTTGCAACTGTATATATACATATATAAAGTTTATAAAAAAAATATATATCAGTGTGTATGTATGTCTGAGTGTTCGTTGCAACAGTGTGTACCTGAGTGTGTCTCGTTTGTGTATGTATCTGTGTGTGTATATATGTATCTGTATATGTGCATGCATCCCATCAATCAACTTTTAATTAGTTTTCTATGAGCCATTTCGTGAAGCTCACAAGGGACATGTTCATCCTCCTTTTATTACTCCTGCTCTGTTGGTGTATCATGCAGTGTCTGACTGTTTTGTTTTATGTTTTGTTGAAAGGAATAGTGAGTAGTGTGTTAAATAAAATGATGCAACCACATTGGATAAGCAGTTCCTTTCTTTCTGTGACAGATAGTTCAATGCATTCAGGAACTGTTGAGGTCACAGAGACAGTGGGAATGACAAAACGGTGGCTTAGAAGTTCCCTTTGTTTAATTTTCTTACCCACAGAGGGTACAAGTAATAAAATCCTCTAGGGCAGGAGTTTGCCACCTTTTAACAACACTGTGCCCAAACAAGATTTTAAAGTCCTTTGGTGTGCTGGTTCTATTTTTTATTTTATTTTTGAAAATGTAAATGTGTAGATTGTAAGGTCATTTGTGCAGGTCCTCATTAACCCATAGTTAATTTCAAAATATGTTGGTCTCATATGTTGTTAAAGGGACATTATAGTCACCAGAACAACTACAGCTTATTGAATTTGTTCTGGTGAGTAGAATCATTACCTTCAGGATTTATGCTGTAAACACTGTCTTTTCAGAGAAAATGCAGTGTTTACATTACAGCCTAGTGATAACATTACTGGCCTCTCCTCAGATGGCTGTTTGAGATCCTTCCTGGGTCATGGCTGCCTAAAATGCATCCAAACATTCAGTGACTCCTCCCTCTGCATGCAGACACTGAACTTTCCTCATAGAGATTCATTGATTCAATTCATCTCTATGAGGAGATGCTGATTGGCCAGGGCTATGTTTGAATCATGCTGGCTCTGCCCCTGATCTGCCTCTTTGTCAGTCTCAGCCAATCCTATGGGGAAGCATTGTGATTGGATCAGGCTACCGCCTCTGATGATGTCAGCAGACTGCTTGTTTTTCTGAGTCTAACAGCATGCAGAGTTAAAGCTTCAGGCTTGAATACAGTAAGATTTTTACTATATTTATGGAGGCATGAGGGGCCCAGGGGGACTAGATGGTGGTTTTAACCCTATAGGGTCAGGAATACATGTTTGTGTTCCTGACCCTATAGTGATCCTTTAAATTTAGGTTGCTCTTTTTCCAGTGCAGATTCCATTCCCCTTCACAAGTGCTTGGGGAAAGCAGTTCCTCCAAGAGCAGGTCCTCCGTGCACTGCAATACGTGATTTAAGGACTGCTCCTCACCACCTGCAGCAATCTCCAATAGTGCCGAACAGCAGATATCTGAAGAATTGAGAGCCCTGTTTTGCCAGCTCCAGAGGAGACCTTCAGATCTCCCCAGCCTGTATGGGTCTGGCAGCCTTGCAAGGCACTTCACATGCCATAGGTTGCTGACCACTGGTGTAGAGTGTACCCTGCTCCCTGTCACAGTAGTATACTTTCAGCAATTTGCAAAATAACATGTGGTTAACCTAATTCTCAAAGCTGTGAATGGGCAGATATCACACACCATATAGCTTAGGCTAATTATTTGTGACTTTTTTGTTTTGTGTTATTATTTTACCTTCTTTATCATAACTTGTAGTATTTTAGATATTGAAACTGAAGAAATATAAATTAAATGTGTTCATTAGCTTTAGGCTTTGAAAAATCCAAGTGTGTATAGGAACTTTAACTGGGCAGTATTAGCAGGTGTCCATTGCACTTTCCACAAAAAAAAACAATGAGGAAGTGCCTTGCTTGATATGAAATGTGTTTTTGGGAAGGGGGGGTTGACCCCCCCCAAACTCCCTCACGTGTCCAAATATTTTTTTTTTTCTATTAAAGGACTATGTTAATCTGCGTGATTGATCCAGCACTTCTGTCCTTGATTTATGAGCTGGTGATGTAGTGTGTGCTAAGTGGGAGGTAGGACCATTTCATTTCTAAATTTTGCAATGGTGCATTGTTGATTGTTTTATTTAATCTTCTGCTCCATGTAATATTTATAGACCTTAAAATATGAGTGTAAGGTGTCAAAAAACGTCTTCTCATGTGACCACAAATACCCCCTGCATGGAAGACTGAAATATAATATCAACATGGTAGGCTTGAAGAAAAATAAAGAGTCTGTTAGAGCTAATTTAAAGTGACCATGCTGAATTCAAACTCTTGCTAGATTGGTCACTAAATATGAGGCCTGCTAGACAGAGGAGCATCTGCATTCTCATTTGGTTTACAAATTCCTGGCACCTGCAGGAACACCGGCTGGCTCATGCAATTGAAAAAGTGAAACTCAAAATATAGAAGTGTTAAAGGAATACTTCAATCACCATAACTACTACAGTAGGCTCAAATGAAAGGCTGGCTCATTGCTCTGCTGGGAGAGCTCAGTGTAGAGAGCTGCTGACTATCTTTGAGGAGGTGACTTGCGGCCAGAAAACCGTAGGTAAGTTTTAAAACCGTTGACAAACGGTTTGACAACTCACCCTTGGATGGTTCAAATGTACTCCTGGCACCATAAACACTACATCGAGCTGTAGTGTTTAGTGCTTAGTGTTCCTTTAATTCTTAGGAAATCATGGAGGGTATGTAACAAACATTTTTCTGAAAGAGATAAACAATTAGAAAACATTACGTTATCTATCTAGAAACAGGCTCCCTCTCTGTGAGTTGAATGCCAGATTTACTGTGCACATATGTTCACAACACGCAAACACATATGTGTTTAATCCATCTTTTGAATGTCCGGTCCAGATTAGTTGTCCTTTGAAGTAACCATACCCTGATAGGATGAGTCACACTTGCTCCTGAATCCAGGCAATTTCCCTTGAACATTGGCCAGCCCTCCCTGTCTGGGTTCCAGACGTTTTGCTAAAACAAGAGATTAATACCATGTACTTGTTCCGATGCCTTCAGTACAGAAAGTATCATATGGCACATTCTTCGTATAAATCCATACAGATCCTGTCTTCAATTTATGAACTAAAAATAAATTCTCTTCCAAAGGAAAATGTAACACACATACATACCTAAAATGTAACAGTGTAGAAAATTGTTTCGACTCCTAATCCTGCAGAATAATACTTCCAGGAGACTGTTTGCTCTTTGGGCTTCTTTTAAATCCAAAACTGCCTCAAAGTGATAGTACAGAATTTTAGTGGAACATTCAAAGCAACATTACCACTACAATATGCTGTTGTAGTTATTGTGTTTGAAGTCCCCTGACGCCACCCAAGGGTAGACTGTTAAAACGCTTGTGAACTGTCTAACATTTACCTGGTTCTGTTGGATGCCTGTGGTCTGCTAAAGAAGAAACTCATACTTCTGCATCCAGGTAATTCATACGAACTTTGGACATTATTCATTATCTGAGAACAGCTGACTCATTGAACAATGTCCAAAGTTGGTTTGCTAATGCAGAAGTAGGATTTGCCTTAGCATAGCTCTGCAGACTGAAAGGAATTAGGTTCCTGACAGAGCCAGGTTGCTTCCTGTGACCATAAACACTAAGGTGTCCTCTAGTCATTATGGTGCTTAGGGTATCCCTTTAACACTGAGAGAACTTAAAGAACACCACTAGCTCCGATGTCACCGTTGGGGGTCTTTGCAAATTCTACAAGGTTCCCAGACGGTGACAATGTCGCTTTAATGATCTACAAAAATACATAAGTCAAGTATATTTATCTTGTTCTGTTTGGTGTTGGCGTTGGTGTGTCAGTTAATCAGTGTGGTCATCAACATCCATAAGAACTTGCTTTTCCGTTAATAATTCACAAACCCTGTGAAAAATTGCTTTAATTGTGTTAATTTAATAGAACATATGGTTTTAAGGTTTCCAGTTTTTCCCCATACAGTTCTGCCTTGTCAAATTCTTCCCCCGCCAAAGTTAAGAAGACAGAACAAGCGAGAGGCTAAGCCTATCACAGAAATATCTAGCAGCAAATAAAAGGGTTAATTTACACTTAAACGATATTTACACTAACGGAAATAATGTCTGTCTGTGCTGACGGACAATTCGTTCATGGGAGTCTTATTAGTCTGGTTAACCTGGCAGGTGCTGGTGACAAACTCTTATGTCCATTTTTTTTCTGCTCCTCCACTAGAGTAGGGGTCACCAAAAGGAAGACACATGCTGTAGAACAAGGGTAGACAACCTTTGGCATTCCATATGTTGTGGGCTGCATCTCCCATAATGCTGCCAACAGCTATGATGCTGGAAAAGAATCATGGGATATGTAGTATAAAACATCTGTGATGCCGAAGGTTGTCCACCCCTGCTGTAGAAGAATTGCAACAGCCATGATGCCTTGGCAACTTTGGACTACCTTTTGGCCATTGCTAAACTGTTTGGAGGGTAGACTGACATGTGAAAGCCAAATTATGTATTTAACGTACTTGGTGGGAATGTGTGTGTGTTAGAGAGAGAGTATATATACATAGAGAGAGGGGAGTCAATTTGATGTACATGCAAAAATACAATTTTGTTTTCATCTGCTAGATATTCTTACTTGTCATAGCTGAGTGGATTAGTCGAACATTCCTCACTTGTAGAGAAATGTATTTGTCTGTCTGTCTATACCCAAACATACATATCTTTGTGAATAAATATTTATGCATATAATAAGAGGTATGCATGTGCAGAAATAAAGAGCACTCTATACACATATCACTATACATGATCATGTTGCAAACTCTATGAATAAGGTGCATAATTCCTGTTCATTATGGGTTCTCAAGACAGGAAAAGAAAGCTTCCCTAGCTTACAGTGCCCAGTTAAAGTTAGGTGAACTGACTGTAGTAGGTTAGCCTTCAATTATCAGATACCGTGTGTTTGACTTTAGAATGTCCTATTAAATACAGTGTCTTGTGTTAATCTGGGACCTTGGGTCATATTTCATTGCCCTACACACTCTTCAGTTCTTTGGAGATAGTCCAGAGATGCCCTCCAGTGTCATAGGTTTGCCACTTTGTATCCTGCCCAGTTTGTCTCCCGATGTACTTTAATAAACCGAATCGTTGGTCTGTGGGAAGCGGATCCTTGGAGGTTTGATTTGTTTTAAGGAGTGTAAAAACGAGAAATGCATAAATATAAAGTCTTTTCAGTCAAGTGGTGGAAGGGGAAGTGGCACTGTACAGCATAGAGTTTTTGCTTATTTCTATTGCGGTTCTCTTCAGTACGGCGATAACCAAGCCATACTCCATTAGTGATTTTTGGCAGAAAATGTTAACGGTACAGTGAGTTGCAAACATTCAATTTCCTTTGTGCCCTGTGTGTTCAGAGCCCCCAGTATCTGTCAGGATAAACAGTAAACAGACCTTTTTTAGTGGATAGACCTTAACTGTCCCCTCACACTGTATAGTTTAAAAAGTTTCAGGTATATGGGGATCCTAACTTGGGGCACTCCGTGGGCCCCGATCTGCCCTCTGAGCGTCGTGAGTTCGGCGACTGCGCACCTTTTTCTTGTCCTCTAGGTGCTTCCATTTTTGGGCTTTGGCCTTAACACTGAGAGGCGGGAGAGGTCGAATGCTGGATTCCTGTAAGCCTGTAAGCTGTGGGGATCCTTGAGGACCTGGTGGGTGTAAGGCTCGACCCTTGCGGATCCATAGCTCCTCGCACATCTGTTCTGCAGAGCCTGGTTGTTGAACAAGGCGCATGAAGTCTTGATACCAGCGATGCGGATGGTGACGATGAGTCCCTGATGATTCCTCGGCACGAGAGGTGGGGATGATCTCTAGATGGAGACGTAGCAAAGTCTGAGTGAATCCATGCTCTGAAGAGTGGCATATGAAGGTTCCACCATCTCTACGCAAGACGCTACGCAGGAGAATTCCACGATCTATCTGGATAACTCTGTCATCAAACTGCACCTGAGGAATTTAAAGGCAGAGTGTAACTATCCAACCTAGAAGTATGTCTAACATAGATAGTGAGAGAGAGCCATCATGATTTATAATCTACATTACAAATATAGGATGACTCAAGCTTTAATAAGGGTCTGATATACAGATATTATTCATTCCTTTCGTTCGACGTCTGGGACATGCAATTCCTAGTGCAGCAAGGCAGATTATTTTTCTGACGTTGGCCATACTGCAGGTAAACTACAGGGGATGGGAGAGGACAGGGCAAGGAGCATGTGGTCTGCACTTCCAGTGGGTGCATACCACAATAATCGTTCCTTACAGTCCAGCACTCAGTGAGTCAAAGTGCAGCTGCTAGGAATAAAACTTAATTTTTACTGCTTTATTATACTAAAATAGATCACACTATGAGCAGTATACAGAATGGTATACAATGCATCAGGGTGCTATCTGGAGTGTTAGCAGAAGTTAGATACCATGTAGCACTTTGCTATCTGAACGATCTCAGTAATAGCATTGTGCTAAAAACAGTGTATGTAAAATAGCCAATAGGTTTCAAAGCAGTGCCTAAAGTGACAATACTTGTCTCCAATATCTCTTGAGGGTGAAATATTGCAATATAACAGACAACCTATAGAGAATTGTCACAACAAAAAAAAAGAGGGCATGTCAACTAAATTGAGAAAAGATTAACTAAAAAGAGAAATTAAGTGAAAGGCTGAAACTTTACTGAAATACTAGATAGCTGATTTGACACAGATCAGGTAGAACAGTCACCAGGTAACCCTGTAGCTAGTCTGTGCCTTCAAGGGCACCTGCACTGTCCCAGATAAAGACTAATCTAGCTAGCTATCTAGTGCAATGAGCCAAACTGACAGCAGCTTGTAGTTAGAGATCCTCTTGCTGTGTTACTATTGAATTGTGCAGAAATAATTTATATGTTTTATTAAACAGATCTACGTGAAGACTATTGCAAACCAATACCTAATCTTCCATATATATACATATTCCTAGATCAATGTCTCAAGATCTCGTTTGTTGGGTGATAATGACAGTTCCTTTCAACTGTGTTTTGCAATACAGAATTGTCAAAGATATTGGATTTCAGAGCACCTACTGGGGAAACATCTATAATTTTAACTGGCTTAGTAAGAATTCAATAGGCATAACTATAAAGGTGTAATGGGAGTCTTTTTCTTGACCCATTTCATAAATACTTTACTTTATTTATTGTACTGATTTTAACGTTAATTACCTCCTTTCTGGGGGTGTCTGGTCCCTTTTGATGTGTCCAGGTCACCTGAGCCCTCAGGGATTTGGGTTGGCACTCAAGGAAAACACTGCTTCCTTCAACCCCAAAAAGACGTTTCTCTTGCACGCTGAACCTCTGTTGCTCTGCATTGTACAATACCAAAAGGTTAATTTACATGCAAACCAATAAATACTTGACGTTTACATAAGCTGATATGTTAGATTTTAAAAAAAGATGAACTTTTGGCCTGAACGGGAACCAAGATGGCTGCGTAAGCCGATAGCTCCCGAGACCCAGGCACACAAGAGCTACTCAAAGCGCACTGGCAGCGCGGCAATCCCCACCAACTAGCCCACTCACCCACCGGGTACCCCACAGCAATGGGCGGCAGCCTGAAAAACCGGGACTCACAGCCGTCGGTCGCCTCACACTTCCGAGCGCAAGGAGACCCGGCGCCATCTTACCCACGTGGCGCCGAAAACTCTGACTCGGAGCACAGTGAGCCCCCAGCTCCGGAGTCAGCACAGACATTACAGAACCGGGGGAGCGGACAGGGCAAGTGGAGCAAAGAGTGGACGACATTATGGACACAGTGACCGCCCAGGCAGACACCATTTCAACTCTGCAATCACGCATAGAAACACTGGAAAACGGACTGGAAGACCTCAACAATAGATCCAGAAGAAACAACATCAGGATCAGAGGCCTCCCAGAAACCATCACCGGAGAGATACTACACTCCACGCTGCAAGAGTTATTTCTGACCCTCTTACCTGAGAAAACCCCACAAGAGCTAACCATGGACAGAACCCATAGGGCCCTGAAGCCCCCCAGCCAAGACCACACAGCACCCAGAGATGTGATAGTGAGGCTTCACTACTACTCTATCAAGGAAGCACTCATGGAGGCAACTAGAAAAAGCCCGCCAAAACTAGACGCCGCCACGCTGGCATTCTACCAGGACCTAGCACCCACCACGCTAGCCAAGCGTCGAGAGCTGAAACCGCTCACAATGGCACTAACCCAAACAGGTATCGCCTACAGGTGGGGGCACCCCTTCAAACTCCTCGTCCGCAGAGACAAACAGCAAGCTTTTGCCTCCAAACTGGGCCTACATCTACCGACGACAAGACCAGATACCACTACCACCACCGCACGGAGACGACCCCCACCACTACAATCACTGTGGGAAAAACCATCACCGCAAAGACACCGCCATGCGGGGAACAGTCCAAAAGCAACGCCAGGCACTGGAACAAGAATGACCTGACTCCACCGCACCGACTCTGAACCCAGACATCCCAGGAGCAGACCTACAAGGCTCTCCGAAACGACGGATTCAACAAAGAGCAAGACAAAAAGCAGAGACTGCACCTATTCAACAAACCATAATATATCCTTTATATTCTTTATCCGTAGAGACACTGGTCATACGTGCCACTAATATCTATTTGTTTACTTGCATGTTAACTGTAAGAGAGCTATACAATTGTGCACGGCACATATTAGAAAAGGGGTAAAACACCCACAACCAAGGGGACTAGACAGCGGGGGGAAGGGGAGCAGGGGGAACGCCAAGCCAACTCCGCGGGCAAAACCAGGGGGAGACGGGAGGAGGGAGGAAGCAAGCGGGAACGAGCGGGGACTATAGGAAAAACCCACACTGAACCACCTGAACCCCAGACAACTAGCCACACACCACCCCACTGGAACAACTTGGGGAATAAGGGTGGGAGGGCATCCAATGACCAAACACCAGGGACACAGGACAACCGGGACCGCCCTGACCCCGACATTGACATCAGGAACCCCAGCCCGAGGGACCATACAGACACCCCTCCCTCAGACGGGCGCCCCAACCCACGGGAGCCACCAATCCTCCCAGACAGAATTGTAACCAACTGTAACACCACACCCAACTTACAATTGCCCAGTGGAAATTCTCACACACCTGGATCGGGATGCATCTCAGGACTTACCCCCACCACGCCCCAAGTTAACACCAGGGCACCGGGGTCCCAAATAAGGGACATACCCAACACGCCGTTAGACTCGAACCTGGCACAGACAATAAGTCCAGGAAGTTGTAAATATGTTCACTGTTTTTTTTCTTTGTACCCACAGTTCACCCCCGAAGAGTACCATGGCGGGACACAAGACCTTAGAACCACATCCAAATCGGGAAGATACCTGACGCAAAAACCCCAAGCCTCCACCCACAACACAAGGGGCAGGACCAAGGCACAATCGACACCGCAGTACCCCTCACACCACAATGCCAGCTAAGGTAACATGCATATCCATTAACTGCAAAGGGCTCAACCACCCCTCGAAACGCCACCAGGTCATGCGCTGGGCCAACAGGTCAGGGGCAGACGTGGTCTTTCTCCAAGAAACACACTACGCTCACTCACGCCCGTTCCCTCTCCTAAGCCGTCACTACCAAACCTGCCACCTCGCCAACTCAAACACAGGCAAACATAATGGGGTGGCAATCTTATTGGAAAAAAACTGCCCCATACACCTTAAAGACGTCCACAAAGACCCACAAGGGCGATACATAACAGCAACAGGCACAATCGGGCCCACAAAAATAGCTCTGACCTCCATATATGCACCGACGATTCCAGACCCACAATTTTGGCAGACAATACAAGCTCACCTCAGCCAACATCCTAGCCACCAAAGAATAATAGGGGGGGACTTCAACGCCACAATCTCCCCATCCATAGACAGACAACGATACTCCCCCCACACCCAGCAACCCACCCATCCCTCCAGATCGGACAAATTGTTGGCCGACTTTATAACCCAAACGGGCCTCATAGACATATGGAGATCTCAACACCCAACAGACCGCGACTACACGTTCTACTCGCACCCCCACCACACCTACTCCCGCATTGACCTCTTTCTCATCTCACCATCCCTAATCCCCCACGTCACAAACTCCGCCATAGGCAACATCACTTGGTCAGACCACGCAGACATCACACTACAACTCCAACCACCACAAATCTCAAGACCTTGGACCTGGAGGCTCAACCCCATACTACTCCACGACCCCCAAATAATTGCCCAACTGAAGACAGAACTCACCCAATACTTCGACACCAACAAAGACTCGGTGCAATCACACGCGGTACTTTGGGCAGCCCACAAAACAGTGCTCAGAGGATCCCTGATCAGCATAGCCACGGCACATAAAAAGAAACACATAGCCCACATAACATCCCTATTGGACCAGATCAGACAACTCGAAGCACAACACAAACTAACCCCCACACAAGACCTCACAACGCAACTGCACCACCAGTGCCAGGCCCTCAAACAGGCCATGGCGAAAGACGCCACTAAAGCTTTACAATGGACAAAACAAATGTTCTATGAGAAATCAAACAAAGCAGACACACTACTGGCCCGAAGGCTACGCAAACGCCAGCAAGCCAAGCAAATTACCACCATCCATACCCCCACAGGCCAACCAACCGACATCCCCAGCAAAATCGCCGAGACCTTCCAGAAGTATTTCACTGACCTATACGACCACTCCCCTCAACACCGCCAAGACGACGGCCCCCTACACGACAATATACAAACCCTCCTAACAAAGGCCCACTAACCGACACTCACGACGGAGGCCCAAACATACCTCTCGACAGAAATCACAGAGGAGGAGGTTAGGAGAGTAATAGGCACCACGAAACCCAACAAAAGCCCAGGCCCGGACGGATACTCGGGCACCTACTACAAAACATTCACAGACAACCTGCTATCCTACATGACAAAGCTATATAACTCGCTCATGACTGGAGACCAGATGCCCGAGGACATGCTGGAGGCAAACATTTGCCTACTACCCAAACCCGGCAAACCGCACACGGAACCAGGTCACTACAGACCCATCTCCCTACTAAACGTAGACATTAAAATCTTCACCAAAATCCTCGCCAACAGACTGCTCCCCTACATCCCATCGACAATCCACGCCGACCAAGTCGGATTCGTCCCAGCAAGACAAGCAAGTGACAACACCAGACGGACCTTAGACCTCATATGGGTAGCCAATCACCGTAACATCCCCACCCTCCTACTATCCCTTGACGCCGAGATGGCATTTGACAGACTACTATGGCCCTTCCTCTTCGCCACCTTAGAGAAACTCCAATTTCCTACACCATTCACGACAGCCCTCAAAACGATCTACTCTATTCCAAAAGCAAAATTACTCATCCCAAACGCGCAACCCCCCCACTTCCCTATACGCAACGGAACGAGACAGGGCTGTCCACTGTCCCCGATCCTTTTCGCCCTCTCATTGGAACCACTACTACACCTCATACGCACCACCGCCACCATCACGGGCATTACAGTACGCTCCCAAACCTACAAGGTGGCTGCGTACGCCGATGACCTGCTCCTAACACTAACTGAACCCCTCACCTCCCTCCCACCACTCCTACAATTGGTGAAAGAATACTCAGCAGCCTCAGGATATAAACTAAACCTGGACAAGACAGAGGCACTTAGCATAAATATCGACCAAGACACGAAGGAGACACTACAAGAAACATATAGGTTTCGCTACAACACATCCCACATCCCATACCTAGGAAAACAGCTACCAGCAGCACTACACCGCACATACGCCCTGAACTACACCCCAATGATACAGAAAGCAACAGACGATCTCAAAAGATGGCAAGACCTATCACTATCATGGCTAGGCCGCATAGCATCAGTAAAAATGAACCTCCTACCCCGCTTCCTCTACTTATTCCAAACCCTCCCCTTCCCACTCCCCACAACGGACGCAAAATATGTCCAAAAATTAATTGATAACTTTATCTGGGCTAAAAAAAGACCCAGAATTAAAAGGAGCACCATGTACATCCCCAATAGGATGGGAGGACTGGGACTACCCCACTTCCAAAACTACTACTACGCCGCACAACTCACACAGATCCAAAACTGGCACACCCCACAGGGGATCAAACGATGGGCGGACTTAGAACATGACCTATTTGGACGCGACCTTCCATCCCTCTACATATGGGTACCAAAGAAATCACGCCCCCTACCACCACCACTGCCCCCATCAATCACCAACTCAATAGACATGTGGGACAAAACTACCAGGAAATTCCCCATCATAAACAACCTGACACCACTGACGCCAATACTACGCAACAGAGCATTCCCCCCAGGGTTAACACCCAAAGACTTTGCACACTATGAACAAAACGACCTGTCCAGACTGCACCACTTCTACACGGGAACTCGAATAACCCCATACAATGACCTTCCTAACACGCAGGCAACATACAGGGAGTGCAGAATTATTAGGCAAATGAGTATTTTGACCACATCATCCTCTGTATGCATGTTGTCTTACTCCAAGCTGTATAGGCTCGAAAGCCTACTACCAATTAAGCATATTAGGTGATGTGCATCTCTGTAATGAGAAGGGGTGTGGTCTAATGACATCAACACCCTATATCAGGTGTGCATAATTATTAGGCAACTTCCTTTCCTTTGGCAAAATGGGTCAAAAGAAGGACTTGACAGGCTCAGAAAAGTCAAAAATAGTGAGATATCTTGCAGAGGGATGCAGCACTCTTAAAATTGCAAAGCTTCTGAAGCGTGATCATCGAACAATCAAGCGTTTCATTCAAAATAGTCAACAGGGTCGCAAGAAGCGTGTGGAAAAACCAAGGCGCAAAATAACTGCCCATGAACTGAGAAAAGTCAAGCGTGCAGCTGCCACGATGCCACTTGCCACCAGTTTGGCCATATTTCAGAGCTGCAACATCACTGGAGTGCCCAAAAGCACAAGGTGTGCAATACTCAGAGACATGGCCAAGGTAAGAAAGGCTGAAAGACGACCACCACTGAACAAGACACACAAGCTGAAACGTCAAGACTGGGCCAAGAAATATCTCAAGACTGATTTTTCTAAGGTTTTATGGACTGATGAAATGAGAGTGAGTCTTGATGGGCCAGATGGATGGGCCCGTGGCTGGATTGGTAAAGGGCAGAGAGCTCCAGTCCGACTCAGACGCCAGCAAGGTGGAGGTGGAGTACTGGTTTGGGCTGGTATCATCAAAGATGAGCTTGTGGGGCCTTTTCGGGTTGAGGATGGAGTCAAGCTCAACTCCCAGTCCTACTGCCAGTTCCTGGAAGACACCTTCTTCAAGCAGTGGTACAGGAAGAAGTCTGCATCCTTCAAGAAAAACATGATTTTCATGCAGGACAATGCTCCATCACACGCGTCCAAGTACTCCACAGCGTGGCTGGCAAGAAAGGGTATAAAAGAAGAAAATCTAATGACATGGCCTCCTTGTTCACCTGATCTGAACCCCATTGAGAACCTGTGGTCCATCATCAAATGTGAGATTTACAAGGAGGGAAAACAGTACACCTCTCTGAACAGTGTCTGGGAGGCTGTGGTTGCTGCTGCACGCAATGTTGATGGTGAACAGATCAAAACACTGACAGAATCCATGGATGGCAGGCTTTTGAGTGTCCTTGCAAAGAAAGGTGGCTATATTGGTCACTGATTTGTTTTTGTTTTGTTTTTGAATGTCAGAAATGTATATTTGTGAATGTTGAGATGTTATATTGGTTTCACTGGTAATAATAAATAATTGAAATGGGTATATATTTGTTTTTTGTTAAGTTGCCTAATAATTATGCACAGTAATAGTCACCTGCACACACAGATATCCCCCTAACATAGCTATAACTAAAAACAAACTAAAAACTACTTCCAAAAATATTCAGCTTTGATATTAATGAGTTTTTTGGGTTCATTGAGAACATGGTTGTTGTTCAATAATAAAATTAATCCTCAAAAATACAACTTGCCTAATAATTCTGCACTCCCTGTATACCACCCACGACTTCTTTCGCTACATACAACTGCGAAGCTTCCTAGAGCAACCCGACAACGCCAAAGCAGCCACCACCACATTCACACGGTTTGAGAGGACATGCCTACACAACCCACTTCACAAAGGTCAAATTACGGAAAATTACACACTCCTTATCACCAACCAACCCAAGGGGGCATTGGCATATGTGGCGGCTTGGGAGAGGGACCTGGGGCCCCCGGGCGACCCCACCGATTGGCAAGATATCTGGGAGGCAACAGCCTCCATATCCATATGCGTTAACCATAAGGAGCAAGCGTACAAAACACTGCTCCGATGGTACCTAACCCCGGTACGGTTGTACCACATGGGCAAGGCAGACGCGGACCTATGCTGGAAAAACTGTGGGCAGAGGGGCACATACATACACACATGGTGGCATTGCCCTAAATTGGCCCCACTGTGGGCAGAAGTGGCTACCCTAGTCTCAACACTCCTCCAGACCACCATACCATTAGACCCCTGGACTTGGCTCCTCTCCAGACCACGAGAGGACCTGACCAGAGCCCAAAACAAAATGACAAACAGGATAGCCCTAGCGACTAGACGGGCAATAGCCGAAGTATGGGGAACTACAAACAATCATACGCAAAACCAGGGAAGCAATACACATGGATAGGATATCAGCCATTATTCATGAGACCTCCAAGCACTTCCACAGAATCTGGGACCCCTGGCTATCTGAACCCCACCTACAATAAGGGCACACAGACAGCCTCCATCTCACCAAATAGGCCCGCTATTCTAACATAGCAATCAAAATACCAACGCACTGATACTCAAAGTACGAAACACTACCCCAACCCGAACTACTGGATGACCACCAGTCACCCGAAACTGAATCCCGCCATGGTACCCCCACCCTTGTACATAGGTCCTCAACCCCCCCCCCAACCGACCACCCAGACCCATGGGCGCCCATCAATACGCAACGAGGACAATAAAAACAGTCAGAAAGAGGGCAACTCACCCTACCACAAAAACCGTTACCGAGACAAATCGCAAACCTCAAACGGCCACCAACACAGGTTCGACCAAACGAACCGTGCAAAGGGAAAGAGACCAAGACAGAGTTCCCTGAACCCCACACTACTGCACGACAAACGCCAAACCAACAGACCACACCACGACACAGTAACTCCTTCACAACGCCTTGAGACACAAAGACACATGTGTGGAAATTACTGTGCACCTGTACTATTTTGGCTGTACCACCCCCAACCTCCTTCAATTCTGTACCCTAATGTTTACTTTTTTCCACACTGAAAAACAACAAATAAAGAATGTTTAAAAAAAAAAAAAAAGATGAACTTTTTTAGTTGACTGGCAGGATATCCATGCTATTAAGCAACTTACCTAAACCCTTGTCATGAAAGATACCCTAGTCAGACTCAAATAATGATCACCTTGGCTACTCATTCTTTTTTTGAACCCTTGCAAGGTCCATAAAAAGAACACTTCCCCAGTTGCTGATCTTGAATGTTGTACAAAAAAAACTGTTCTAAAAAGAATCTGTGTTGAGGCCAGTGAAGACCCATCTTGAATGAAACTCAGGAATTTGGGAAATCTCTAAGCTTCAGGGCATATAGTGAACTCAGGCTCAAGCTGCACACATTTTATATAAATCACTTGTTAGCTACAGTTCGACAGTGAACATACTTAATTATATATCCAGGGAGACTAGTGAAGATGGCTGTCTCAAGCTTTGATCTAATGGTTTGAATAAAATTCATGTCTATTGATCTTAACAACCCTCTCTATACATGGGGAAAAAAGGAACACAGAACCTAAAACATGTATTATTTCATTGGGTTGCTACTGAAACAGAGAGAATCTATAAAATAACATAATAAATAACAGCATACACATATTCTCTTTTTCTATTGTAAGGCTACTTAAAAATACCCAAGTTACACGAATAACATAAACATACTGTCACATTATGTTGAACCCAAAATGTGCATCAGATTACCCTGACCATTGGGTCCTAACCTGGATTTATTCGAGGGAGATGATCTGTTAGTCTGCAATACTTAGACTATACAAAGTCCTAACTGTGACATGAGACTCGACTATGAATTTTAAGAGCAGGAAGGGATAGATGTTATAGGGCACTTGTGACTGAAATCAGAAATTAGAAGCACAAATTGGAACATTAATTATTTAACAATGATGCTACTGAAGGAACCATGAAATGGCATAAAATACATAAAAATCAATGTAAACATGAAATACAATATGTTTTTATTTTTTCAAGGCTGCTTGGGGAGTTTTTGACTCTACATATTGAGTATTTTGTGCACAATATCCAAAGAAAACGATCCACAACAAAGCAGTAAGTGAAATGTTGAACTTGAGAAAGACCTATCTATTGGTTGAAAATATTGTTCAATTTAGTATGAGGACCTCAATAAATCTGGAGTTCATTTCGCCCATTGCTTTATGCTGGGCATTTTTCTTTGGATTTTATGCTAACTTGTTAAGGGTCCCCTTTTGCACCTTCATGTACAGTTGGGTAGTAGTACCTTTTGGATAGTCTATCCTGCACCATGGTAATTTTTAGAATATTTTTTTTCATGTGAAGGCCCAGAACTCACCTCCTGAACATAGGGTGTTAGGATCCCCATTCCTGACATCCTGGCGCCGAGATCTCCTGAAATCAGTAAGCAGAAAAAAGTATTAGAATAAAAAAGGTGAAGGGGACAAAGTGATTTAGTAGAAGAATGTAGAAAAGAGTGTAAAGCAGATTGTAATTTCATTATACAGCATAACGTTTCCCTGTGTGGGCTGTAAATAATTGGCTGTTTACCTCTTTGTGTTTGGCAGATAGCGGGTACAGCTGACTCCATCCCATGCGCAGTAAGGATCCCTTGCCAGACAGCATTCTGCGCAGGCTTTACCATACATAGCACAGCGGTGCAAAGGCACCTGGGAGATACCACTCTCAGAACCAACATATAATTGTTGCTAAGGAAATAAAAACACAAATTAGACCAGTGTTCAACTCCCATCACCTCTGGGTGGCAACAAGGAGTACTGTACTCAGTTATGAGATATAAACAGGCTAAGCTAAATAGTAGGTTTTCAACATTGTTCCAGGAATAGGTGCAAACTAAGTAATGCATAGGGTTTTAAATACACAACATAGATATTTGCCTTGTTGACAGATTAATTTGTTTTATGGCCATAGAATGATACTAAACCCAATTGGTTTAAAGGATCACTACTATATAGTGTCAGGAAAACACTATATAACCCTCAGGGCCTCCTCCCCCCCGCTGGGATGAAGGGGTTAGAACCCCTTCAGCTACTTACTTTAATCCAGCGCCTGGCTCCTTCGGCGCTGGTGACCTCTCCTCCCCCGCCAAGGTCAGCTCCCGAGTGGACAGGAATGTGCATTAAAAAAGCCCGCAGGAAAGCATTTCTCAAAGCTTTGCTATGGACGTTCTGCACGCTGAATGTGCTTTTCGCATTCACTGTCTCAGAAGCGCCTCTAGCGGCTGTCAGGAAGACAGCCACTAGAGGCTGGATTAACCCTGCAATGTAAACATAGCAATTTATCTGAAACTGCTATGTTTACATTTGAAGGTTTAAAACCTGGGGGACCTGGCACCCAGACCACTTCATTGAGCTGAAGTGGTCTGGGTGACTATAGTGGTCCTTTACGTTTTCTTTTTAATAGTTCTGCTGCTTGGGAAAGCAGAGGCCTGGGGTGATCCACAAAAAAAGAAAAATGAAACCAAATATGAAAATAGTATATATGATGTTTTTACTTACCCTCTTTGATGAAATCTGCATGCTGGTTATAGGAGACAAGTCCTGCATGGGGAAATGGTGGGGGGGATAAGAAATTGAAGTACAAAGAGAAGATAAAATAAAAAGTAGGTAAATACATTTTTAAAAAAAAGAATCTTGGTTACTTTTCAAACGCCTTCACGTTTTAGGACAAATATTACTATAACCCCATAGGTTATTAGTGTTGAATAACAATTATCTTCTATTTATTGAACAGTTCTTATATAGCCCCCGCCCTATTTAAAGGGCTTTACAAAATGTGATAATTTTGTTAGACAAAGGGAAATATAATTAGGCATACTTATAGGAGGAGAGTAGAGAATCCTCCTCCCCGCTCATAGAGGTTCTAACCCAGCATCAACTAGGGCCTTATGCCATTGACTCCCTTATGTGATTAGATTACTTTAGTACCTTGAAGACTTGCAGCTCTTCCAGGACCACTACCTCAACGTGGTTCCAACTCTGTTTGGGAACGGAGATAACTTTCAGCACAGATCCCTTATCTAGGGAGACGGATAAAAAGGACACAGTTGTGTAACATCTGGTCTGGAAAGCTGTCACCAACAGGCAGTAAATTGCAATCTCTCCATACATGGTTAATGTGAGCCAATTGGTATAGTCAACTAGTATAATGCAACACTGTTTCAACAAATGGCCAACCATTATTTCAAACCCCCAAAATATGGGAATTTAAAAAGTCAAATGTTGTGTCCATCAACAATACCAAAACTCCTATTCACTTTCTATACTTGCCAGTGGAGGTACACACGAATGACTAGTTTTTCAGGAAATAAGATTTGTTTTTTAATCTAACAGATCCCGGACAGTGGTCGTTAGTGTTGTGGTTCTTTTAAGCTGGGTAAAATAGAACATTCCCCACAATTCTTCACTCAGACACCGTTTACAGCCCTGGTCCTCATAAAGCATCTACAGACCACTCTGGCTATTTAAGTAATAGTGCCTGCTCCTTCATAAGAGTTATATGAAAAATATCCAAGACTTCCTCACCGCATGTTTAGTTGCAGCCTCCTTAATGCCCTATCCAGAATTGCCACACAGTCCATTATATATATATATATATATATATATATATATATATATATATATATATAAAAAAAAATATATATATATATATATATATAAATAAAATATACATACACAGTATCTAACAAAAGTGAGTACACCCCTCACATTTTTGTAAATATTTTAGTATACCTTTTCATGTGACAACACTGAAGAAATGACACTCTACTACAATGTAAAGTAGTATGTTTACAGGTTGTATAACAGTGTAAATGTTCTGTCCCCTCAAAATAACTCAACACACAGCCATTAATGTCTAAACCGTTGGCAACAAAGGTGAGTGATATAATAAAATATTCTGAAAAATGTGAGGGGTGTACTCACTTTTGTGAGATACTGTGTGTGTATCTATAATATATATATATATATATGAAACCAGGGGGCTGCAATCACCTGAACATAAATAATTTGCCTTTATAAATGTAAAAATGTATGTTGCTTGGAATCTTCATGACAGCACTATTCTTTGTATTTTGGACGTGATATATATTTTCAAAGACTATAAAGTTTGTACAGGTTGAATGAGACCATTTGACTGCAGGTTCTTTATGTTGATACTATAATCCAGCCTTTTGCCATCTTGTTCAATCCCTCTGACATATCTCCTGCTTTTTCCCATACTTTCCTTATTTATTTTCTTGCTATGAACTCTCAGATCTTGCTCACCAGTTCCCATGAACATAACGTCGTACTCTCCATCTGTAGCTGTTACTCTATCGACTGTGAGTTTAGTGAAAGCGACATCACTATGGCTGCGCAAAAAGACAGGCCGTCCCGACCCAGGAACCACTGGAGAGTGCATCAGAGGGTGATTTCGAGCAAACTGGAGGACATCATCTGGGAAATTCCTGGTTGATTCAAAATTGCCGTATGTCTTACTAGGGCACTGCAAGTAAGTACAAAAAAATTTAAATTTTTGAGCGAATTTCTTGTCCCTCCTGATTTCTGATCTCCCACTTAATTATAAGAGAATGGTTCTAACTTAAAGAAATAAAGTAATAAATTAAAAAAAAATCCAAACAGTTTTTTCCTAGTTTTATTGTTTTTGATTATAACACATCCCTAAAATCTTGCAGCTACAGTTGGCGTGTGTATGGCACAATGCCCAGCAAACCATTTGTCCATAACAGCTGCCACACCAAGGTTAGCAATTACATAATTTGAGACTGAATTAAAAACAATATCTCACATTGTAACCAACTGCTAAGAACTCATAAATTAACTCATCTGGGAGATCTTACTGGATGTAGGTATGCTTTGACATGACTCCAGGAAGCTGAGCTCAGGGACAGCAGTGTTTTCCTGTGCCAAAAACAACCCTAACTCTCTGCAAAACACAATACACTAGTTTTTGAGCAGTGGCAAACGAATAAGTTTTGGGGGATCATTAATATTTTTAAATAAAAAATACAAACCGTAATTCTCAAGCTAATTATCACCAATAACCTGAGGTCAGGTATTATTTAATTAGCTACTGGAGCTACTAGTGATTTGTTTTAAGACTTTTCTAAGCTACACTGTTTTTACTTCTACCCAGTTCTACCCATCCTCTATTTTCAGTGCTACTTCCAAGTCTTCATTTTATATCTTATTCATCACTCGGTCCACCTAGTTGGTTCCCTGTAATCACTTACCATCCCAGGACGAGGATAGGGGACTCGTCCTGAGTAAGACACCCACTGGTAGCCGGGTCCCTCCTTGTGTGCAAAAGGTCCCAAGAATGATCTTCGTACATCATTCATTGTGTAGACACAGACTGCTGAGCCTCGGAACACAGAGCTGAAAAAATATATACAATGCACTTGATACAGGCATAACAACTCTCCTAATCAAAATTACTTCTATTAATATACAATGTTCCTACACATTCCATGTAACCAAATAAAACCATTGTAATCTACCACTCAAAGTGGTAAACTGGGTTCATTCTATTTCACAACATGCATAATACTTAAGTCTGCATAATGTTGAACTTTAAATGACATACATGGTCTTACATGAATTGATCATGCAATTGCAGACTTTAGCCCAAAATACCTACTCCTATTGTGCAGCCATTACTCCCTACTCCTACTCCCTACTCCTATCTCAGATATTACTTCTTGCTCCTAACTTGCAGACATTAATTACTCCCTGCTCCTATATCACAGACAATTTGCCCTGGTAAAAGAAATTAGTTGAAGAATTTGCCTTAAAGGGACACTATAGTCACCAAAACAACTTTAGCTTAATGAAGCAGTTTTGGTGTATAGATCATGTCCCTGCAGTCTCACTGCTCAGTTCTCTGCCATTTAGGAGTTAAATCACTTTGTTTATGAACTCTAGTCACACCTTCCTGCATGTGACTTGCACAGCCTTCCTAAACACTTCCTGTAAAGAGTCATCTAAAGTTTATCCTTCCTTTATTGCAAGTTCTGTTTAATTTAGATTTTCTTATCCCCTGCTATGTTAATAGCTTGCTAGACCCTGAAAGAGCCTCCTGTATGTGATTAAAGTTTAATTTACAAAGAAAGAGATACAATTGTTTAAAGGACCACTATAGTGCCAGGAAAACACTCGTTTTCCTGACACTATAGTGTCCTGAGAGTGCCCCCACCCTCAGGGTTCCCCTCCCGCCGGGCTCTGGGGAAAGGAATGGGTTAAAATCTTACCTTTCTCCAGTGCTGGGCAGGGAGCTTTCCTCCTCCTCCCTAGCGACATCATCGGCTGAATGAGCATGCGCGGCAGGAGCCGCACGCGCATTCAGCCAGTTCATAGGAAAGCATTTACAATGCTTTCCCATGGACGCTGGTGTCTTCTCACTGTTATTTTCACAGTGAGAAGCACACAAGCGCCTCTAGCGGCTGTCAATGAGACAGCCACTAGAGGCTGGATTAACCCTCAGTGTAAACATAGCAGTTTCTCTGAAACTGCTATGTTTATAAAAAAAAAAGGGTTAACCCTAGCTGGATGAGGCACCCAGACCACTTCATTAAGCTGAAGTGGTCTGGGTGCCTATAGTGGTCCTTTAAGTTAAATTACATCTGATTGAAAGTGAAACCAGTTTTCTTTTCATGCAGGCTGTGTCAGTCAGAGCCAGGGGAGGTGTGACAAGGGCTGCATAAATAGAAACAAAGAGAGAAAAACCTGAGAGGCATGATCTATACACTAAAACTGCTTCATTAAGCTAAAGTTGTTTAGGTAACTATAGTGTTTATTTTACATTTACAATTCTTGTGTCATTTCCCAGTTAAGTGAATAACCTTGATAGTATCTGGCCTAATACTTGTCACAATGTATGGAGGCTTTTCATGTTCAATGTTTAACGTTCCTAAATATCTGTCAATATTAAATGAGTTATCAACAATGGTCTGTCCAGTAATAACCAAATATTAGATACTAAAACGAGAGCAGGAAAGCATTATTTCCATTCCAACATTCTGCTATTTAAAAAAAAAAAAAAAAGTTTTATTTGATGCCTTTTATCTTAATGATTATAAACTATTAATACAAATTATAAATAGAAATGTGTTAAATTTACTGTATCTTATGGGAAAAGAACTTGATATAAATTCTCCTTTTTTCAGACATAACATAATTCCTCCTCCTCCCCCCCCCCCGCTCCCCTCAATTCTCCAGTTTTGAGCAAGGACATGTGCAAAACATGCATAAAGAAAACCAACTACTTCTTCCTAACACAGAGAGAGAATAGCTTACTTCACCAGTCATAGACACATCAATATGCTCATATCACGCAGACAATACGCCCTTCACCTAACACACAAACTCTTTGCCCGTCACCTAAAATAGAGACATTACACCCTTCTCTTATCAGGAAGATGTTACTCCTTGCTCAGATCATAAAGACATTACTCTATTCTCTTATCAATTAGACATTACTCCCTGCTCCCATCACACAGACATTTTGCCCAGCTCCAATAATACAGACATTGCTCCCTGCTGCTATTATTTAGACGTTTACCTTGCTGCATCACACAGATCTTACACCCTGTTCCTGTCACACAAATGCACTGCTCATAAACCATCCTGTTTATACCATGCATTGTGAACATCCTACTCTGATATACCGACTCTACTTATTCCTGTAATACAGATACAGTGCTCATCTCTTGTTTTGCAGACAAAATGTGCTTTACATTCAGCTCTGCCATCAGAAATTGTCCCTTACAAAACCATTTTGTAGGTGCCTCCAGAATAAGTTTCCAACATAAAACCTCTGACATACTGATACACACTCACAGATGCACATCAAGACACACACTTATTCTCAGACATACATTGCCACACTTACAAAGATGCACATACAAACACACACAACAGTTGTGGCATATTTTAGCTACCCTCTTGTTTCCATACTTGGTGTGCAGAAGGTTGGCTGCCCTGGGATCAGGTGGAAGCAGGCAGCTGCAGATCACTAGTACCATTCTCGTCTCCACGATACTGTGTGTGTGTGTCAGGAGGAAGTGATCTGTAATCACTTTCTCCTGGTCCCAGTGATGCTACATGAGGCCACGTTGTTCCAGTCAGGGATTTAGTCTGTCGTGGCTTTTAAACTTCGTCTTGTTTGGAAAGGATACTTCTATCTCTCCAGCCAGACTACATAGCATAAAAGAATTCCCAAGAGGAGCCCTGGGCTCGATCAGGCCCCTGACACACAGTATAGGCTTTCAAATTCTGATGGTGGCCTTGCTTACAGCTAATTGGAATCTCAATTAAAGGCATGCATTCACAGAAAAATCTTCTCACCTGGATGTGGAGAACAGCGCATATATGAGTGGATTCCTCCTGTCCCTAGTCTGCAACAAAAATACATCCTCTGTATAGAGGAAGACAGTAGGCATTAATACACTTTATTGTAGTATTGTTCTCTATAGATTTATGGCAAATTTATGTTTCATGTAAATCACCCATAGCTTTTTGAACCAAAGCATGGGTTGTGATCCAAAAAGACTAATGACCATAAATCAACCATATACAGTTTCCAGTGCTCCATTGTTAGGGGTGACTTCAGAAATGAATGGGGTAACTGGCAGAATGAACAGGGTGCACTCCAAACACAATCCCTTCTTATGCTCATTTGTGTATTGAACTTGGAGTTCTGTGAGAATTGCAGAAACATAATGTTTTTTTAATTACTAGGCCCAAAGCAAACTTTTCCCAGGTCTTACTTAAGATCTGTGGATGATGCGCAACAGTACATTTGCATAAACCAGTGTGGAGTTTTCTCACACTCCTGATTTAATCTCTTCAGTAAAATAGGAAACGGATAGGTCAAAATATATATTTACCTGAAGTTTCTATATGGATATTTGAGATGTGAGCTATGTATGCACTCACACCTCTTGCAAAGCTGTAGCCTAGATGTGAAATCCTATCATAAATTTCCATGACTTAATAAAATTATGAAACATTTAAAGGACCACTATAGGCACCCAGACCACTTCAGCTCAATGAAGTGGTCTGGGTGCCAGGTCCCTCTAGTGTTAACCCTGCCTGTTGTAAACATAGCAGTAGTCACTGACAACCACTAGAGGCGCTTCTGCACTTCTCACTGAAAAGCACAGTGAAAAGATGCTGGACGTCCATAGGAAAGCAAATGCTTTCCTATGGGCGGTTTGAATGTGCGAGCATTTGGCGCTGACGTCAGCTGGAGGAGGAGAGTTCCCCAGCGCCGAGGGAGCCCGGCACTGGAGAAAGGTAAGTGTTTTAACCCCTTCAGCCCAGCGGGAGTTGGACCATGAGGGTGGGGTGAACTTAAAGACCCTATAGTGCCAGAAAAACGAGTTTGTTTTCCTGGCACTATAGTGGTCCTTTAAGTTCTTCTTCTCATTGAGCCGGCATATTTTTTTTTATACAATAGCCATAATATATGGGTATTTATATAACACACAGGCTTGTTTTTAGTTTTTACTTACAGTTACCTCTCTCCCATCCTTAGCTTGTTATATGTTCATTTAACTCTTATTTCTTTCACCCATTTTTTTTTTTTTACAGCTTTAACAATTTGCAATAAACTATCTTAGCTTCCTTGTTGCTTATGTTGGTAATGAAGGATCTCATAAAACAGGGCAAAACATACTTACTCAGCTCATCAAAATATGTGTCGCCTCCTGCTTCATTCCCTGGCACACTGCATACAAGTCGTGCCTTCAAAAATGTTGTCCACTTGTTCACCAAGCTCCGCTGACCGCCCATGTCATTCTAGGGAAGTCAAAAGGGTTTTGTTTTGTGAATGTTAGGGTGGAAAAGCATTAACAGTTAAAAGGTACTCAAAGCACCATAAACACTACTATTGTAGTAGGTATGGTGTATATAGGTGATGAGTGCCAATCCTTAATTTGTGCAATATCATTCTGGAAAGTTTGATAAAGCCTGGAGCTCTCCTAACACTTGTAGACTAGTCCACTGTGCCTGAGACTTGGCTAACTTAGAACTTGTCCACAAGCATTTGACGACATTGATAGGCTAAGAGAGCTTTAAATGGCAATGATAGGCTGGGAGTAATGCGCTTGGGTTAGCTCAGTACTCCCAGCCTAACATTGCCATCTAAAGTTGTTCTGGCTTATTCTAACCCATAATGACATATTCGCTGAACTGCAAGAGAGGATCTAGGGAAAAGGTGCTGGAGAGCCCTGTTTTTTTTGTTTTTTTTGTCAAACTGCTAAAAAAAATTATTTGACACAAAACTAGGAAAGTGAGCTATATTCTTTATGATGCTTACAGTATGCTTTTGAGACAAGAGAAAGTGAGCATAGGATCAATAGACTCTTGGTGCTGTATATGTAGTTACCCTGCATATTTGCCCAATTCGGGCATATGACTGCTTTATTCCTCCAAGACCCTCTACTGGTGTCTCCCGAAAGAAGAAGTAGATTTTATCATCATCAGGATTTTCACTCTCGGGTATCCAGAAAACTTTCACAAATTTAGGCTCTGTTGATACAAAAAAGCAGTGTACCTTGTAACGAACAATCAATGAACAGGTTCTATCCATCTCACTCTATCACTCTTCTCTGACAATACAATTTTGTTTGCAACCTTCCTATTGCTATCCGTTTATAAAACCACATGATTTTACCCCACATCTACCCAATATTCACCCTACTTTTTCTATAAGACATAGCCTATCTCCCTGAATACTAACAGGGTAATTCACTAAACTAAGAATTGCTGGGAATTTCAACTCTAATGGCCAAAGTTGCTGAACTGAGGAAGCATAGTTGCCAGGGTATTTGTTCCAGTTTAACTAATTTGGCCTTAAATTTTTAATTTGGAATTCCTAATAGTTTTCTTTAGTGAAAAACCTTGTATATGCTATTAGCCTCTTTATTGCACTGATTAAAATGCCCCAAACGTTCTTTTCAGCATCCTGTACAATTGAAATTATCCCTGGTATCCTTTCAAACAATGTACAAGTCGGATAAATTATTCTGCTCTTATTACAGGGAGTGCAGAATTATTAGGCAAATGAGTATTTTGACCACATCATCCTCTTTATGCATGTTGTCTTACTCCAAGCTGTATGGGCTCGAAAGCCTACTACCAATTAAGCATATTAGGTGATGTGCATCTCTGTAATGAGAAGGGGTGTGGTCTAATGACATCAACACCCTATATTTAATTATTAGGCAACTTCCTTTCATTTGGCAAAATGGGTCAAAAGAAGGACTTGACAGGCTCAGAAAAGTCAAAAATAGTGAGATATCTTGCAGAGGGATGCAGCACTCTTAAAATTGCAAAGCTTCTGAAGCGTGATCATCGAACAATCAAGCGTTTCATTCAAAATAGTCAACAGGGTCGCAAGAAGCGTGTGGAAAAACCAAGGCGCAAAATAACTGCCCATGAACTGAGAAAAGTCAAGCGTGCAGCTGCCACGATGCCACTTGCCACCAGTTTGGCCATATTTCAGAGCTGCAACATCACTGGAGTGCCCAACAAGCTCAGAGACATGGCCAAGGTAAGAAAGGCTGAAAGACGACCACCACTGAACAAGACACACAAGCTGAAACGTCAAGACTGGGCCAAGAAATATCTCAAGACTGATTTTTCTAAGGTTTTATGGACTGATGAAATGAGAGTGAGTCTTGATGGGCCAGATGGATGGGCCCGTGGCTGGATTGGTAAAGGGCAGAGAGCTCCAGTCCGACTCAGACGCCAGCAAGGTGGAGGTGGAGTACTGGTTTGGGCTGGTATCATCAAAGATGAGCTTGTGGGGCCTTTTCGGGTTGAGGATGGAGTCAAGCTCAACTCCCAGTCCTACTGCCAGTTCCTGGAAGACACCTTCTTCAAGCAGTGGTACAGGAAGAAGTCTGCATCCTTCAAGAAAAACATGATTTTCATGCAGGACAAAGCTCCATCACACGCGTCCAAGTACTCCACAGCGTGGCTGGCAAGAAAGGGTATAAAAGAAGAAAATCTAATGACATGGCCTCCTTGTTCACCTGATCTGAACCCCATTGAGAACCTGTGGTCCATCATCAAATGTGAGATTTACAAGGAGGGAAAACAGTACACCTCTCTGAACAGTGTCTGGGAGGCTGTGGTTGCTGCTGCACGCAATGTTGATGGTGAACAGATCAAAACACTGACAGAATCCATGGATGGCAGGCTTTTGAGTGTCCTTGCAAAGAAAGGTGGCTATATTGGTCACTGATTTGTTTTTGTTTTGTTTTTGAATGTCAGAAATGTATATTTGTGAATATTGAGATGTTATATTGGTTTCACTGGTAATAATAAATAATTGAAATGGGTATATATTTGTTTTTTGTTAAGTTGCCTAATAATTATGCACAGTAATAGTCACCTGCACACACAGATATCCCCCTAACATAGCTATAACTAAAAACAAACTAAAAACTACTTCCAAAAATATTCAGCTTTGATATTAATGAGTTTTTTGGGTTCATTGAGAACATGGTTGTTGTTCAATAATAAAATTAATCCTCAAAAATACAACTTGCCTAATAATTCTGCACTCCCTGTATCTGATTACTATACTGTTAAAGATCTGGTAGTTGTCACTCCATTCAGCCTAACAATAAGTTCTGCATATGATGAAACCATTTAAGCGATTATTTTGACAATTAATGAATTTTGCGGATATTGCTTTGAGGTGGATTGAAAACCAAATTGCAAACTTCTGGTTCTTTTCAAGGCTATAAAACTGCTGGTAATTTGCTAAAACTATAGAAAACTGTGTAAACCATACATGAACCCGTCATAAAAAAATGTACTATACAACACTATTATATACTATAATATAAAATAAAATGGTTTTTTTTTATTTATTTTTTTAAAGTGTTCCTTAATTCTTCACTAGGTGGCAGCTGTGTACTGGAAGGAGTGGGACCAAGGTTAATACTAACCATTCAGCCAGCGAGAGTCATGCTGCTCTGTACGCAGGGAGGGTCGTCTTCCCAGGCTTCGGAAAATGGTAAAATCCCGGCCCATGAGGTCAGTAGCAACGCCTGAGTATAGCTCCTCCCCTGAGATAAAAGAAAGAAGTAAAACAAGAGCACTAAATGTTTAATGGGATGGGGTGCATATGTTTCCAGCGGTTGCCCAATGCAGTCCATGTACAAAAAGAGCAGCGAAAGACTGAAGGGCTGCGTATCAGAGCATTATAATTAGGGTTGTCATATCCTGTACCTATTTTAGTTTGTGCAATCTTTTTAAAGTTTTACTCTAACCACCATGACCACTTCTGCTTTTTGAAGTGTTCATGATGGTATGAGTCTGCATGTGCAGTGTTTCAGCTTGAAACACTGCACATCTATAGGTATGAGCAAATGTGTGCCAGGGGCCAGTTGCACCCACAGCACACTTGGAACTCTGTCCCGCCATTTTTTATTCACTGCCCACCCCCCTTTCTCCTTTCCCTCCTTCCCCTTGTTGGCTCAAGGAAACCTTTGATTGGATTTAGACGTGGCTCTTGTGATGTCAGACAGAGTTGCACCGAGCAGGATTAAGGTAAGTGATAACTTAATTTAAAATGCTCTTTAAGGTTTTTTGTTTTTTTTTGTGGGCAGTGCCAATATGGGATTATTCTATTAAAAACTAAAATGGTTGGAGAAACCCTCTAATAAATCTCAAAGGAACCACTTTGAATTTTTTCCCTTCTGCATGACGTCTGCACACTGAAGGGAAGCACTTTTCATTTGCTGCATATAAAAAGTAATATATGTCAGGGGCAACATGGTGCATCTGACAACCCTATATGTAAGGAATATGAAAACACATAAAAGCACAAAGGTTGGAATGTTTATTCTTACCCACAAGCACTGAAGCTGCTGCGTGTTTAGGGTCGTAAGGGCAGCGTCCCTTCCCATCTTCTATTCGTCTGGTATCTAATTTAAATATTGAGTCCTGCAAATCACATGGTATCCATATTAGATTAGTGAACAATTTGCCCTTTTGCCATTATCTCATTCATTAATCCCACCAACCCGCACGGTAAAGGTCCCCACAATTGGTGGTTTATTTTCTAACGTGGCTCTTTAACCCCCAATGGTGGCTGCAGGGTGCCAAGGAATTAAGTTTTTACTTACTTGATCTTGTCCCTCGTGGGCACCGTTATCTTGTTCCACAAGGTCCTCTTCAGATCCTGGAACTTCATCTACCAGGAAATGACGTCTGCTCTGTGCGAGAGTACAACTCTGACATCTATAGAAGATCAGACGAGCCCATGGAATCCTCCATAGAAAGAGTTTTTTTCCTCTCAGCATGACTAGTGACGGCTGAGGGTTCGACAAGGCTTGACAGAAGGTAGCTCTGCCTTTTGTCAAGCACAGGTAGCCCCCACTTTGTCTTCTATCTTTTGACTGGGTTGGAATATCAGTAGAATTCCAGCACAGTCTTTATGAGCATTTTATTAAGATATAATCTTTATTAAATGTCAATTTTTTGGTGGGAAGGGGTGATGATAATTACTACAGCTTTCTTTAGTAGTGATGGTGCCAGGTGTGCCCTAGCACATCCCCCAACATATGTAGTCAACCTGTTTTGCTAATGGTATGTCTTCTTACCTGTGGTCCACTGGGAGATGCTGACTGCTTTTCTTTTCTGAGGCCCAGATAAGAAAAAACTTTGGCAAACGGTTTGACCACTTAAATTGGGTTAGGGGTGCTAAGGCACTTCTTCCATCATCACCACTAGAGCGCTCTGTAGTGGATATGGTGTTTGGAGTGATCCTTTAAACTGCATTCAAGTGAACTGAAAACCAAATTGCTAAATCTAGGCTAGAATTGTCAAGCTGTAACTGTAGAGGATTTGAAGATATATTTTTTTTCCAGAAAAATATTTTGCACTAAATTTCGCTACTAACTTTTTAATAGACCACCATTCACTGATTAGTGAATTAGTCCTTAAGCCTTTAGTGTACCCTCCTCCCATATTCTGTTCCACTTACATCTGAGCGCTGTCCCACGTGAAGGAATCCACATATTGGGTGGAAAGCTCCTGTGCCACAGGTGTACAGGTGGGTGCGATTATATGGCTGCAGAATTTTGACATAGTTCATACAGTCAGTCTGTAACGAGAGATGAAATAAGGGATTGTAATGTCAGATATTGAGCACTATTTAGTCTTATTATAATTCCTCACCCTCCCTTCTGTTTGCCCCTCGTCAAACTCTGTTCTTCCTCCCTCCCCCATCTCTTTTGCTCAAGTACACAGAGAACTCCTGATATCTGGCATAGCTGCAAGAGGGACGGAGAGACCTTCTGATTACAAGGCTCAAAATGAGAAGGGGTGGATGGGGCAGGCACACCCCCAGGCTAGAATTCACAAAATCACAACACCCCCACACTTGACCCTGAACGCTTAGCTCTGACTGATAACAATGCAAATCTCTGCTAACAGACTGCTACCCGCCTGCAGGGAATGTAACCCCTGCTAAATCACACAGTAAATACGTACTCTCGCATACATCAGCACATTGCACTGGGTTCTGCTAAATCACACTGCAGATTAGGTGTTCTCTGCTGCTCCCCATAAACTGCAAGATTACTCTGCTACTTAATTTATAGTTTAGAGTTGGGGTAGGCAACCTTAAATGTAAACACTGAAGGAAATGTTATTTGAAAACTGATACTGCAGGGATTACAAATATCTGCTATAACTGTTCTGTAACCTGCTGGTAGTACTGTCCTGTAACACATTCTGCAGAGAGTACGGTCTCATGGTTTTAAGTTTAAATATTATAATAAATGTTTTATAAAAATACCTGAAAAACAATATAATGTGTACTGTGTACTCTAAATCCCTATGTTTAGTTAGAAATGGAAATTTAGAGTATGGGTAGCAAATACCTGTTACAGAAAGTGTAGTGAATATATAGAATATCCTTCCAGGCCCTGTATTATGCAGGAAACCTATTAAATCACGATGGTGGTATTTTACACATAGGGAGTGTTAAAATAAGTTGGGCAAATTGATTCTTACCCAGTAGAGAAATATGTTTGTACAAAGCACCTTCCCCTGATTACTCATATGGAATAAAATACTGATTCTGCCTACCCATACCTGGATTGCTGTCCAAAGATTACTCATACTCCAAAGAGTGCATTAAATCAATGACAAATGCTAATCTCTGCTGGCACATAGAACCCCATCGTCACTAGCACTGTGAACTGCATTCAGTACTCTTCTACCCAAGTACTGCAGCACCTTTTATCTAGCTCACAGTGCAGCCTCTCTATCAGATATGTGTACCATAATTACATGGTTTTAGGCTTTTGCTTAGAAGGGGAAGGATAAGGATAAGTAAACATTCTCTCTGCCTGCAATTATTGGCTATTTTATGTTCTTCTGTCAATTTCCGTCTTCTACTTTCCATGCCACACACACCTTTATTTGAACGCTACCTGGATGGCAACAGCCTTTGCCCCTTGAAGAATATGTGTCATGCGCTAACAGCTCAGAAAGCAAACAGGCCCTATACCAACAATGCATGCTGGGAACCTGGGGTGTGAACATAAGCACAATAAAGCATCATCAGGGGGTATGTCACCTTAGGTGACCTTGTGAGCATTCAAACTACATTTTTTACAGGGGATCAGGATGCTTGCAACAGGATAGGGCTGGGTCTCCATATATGTCACAGCATTACTTAGTAATGGTATGCGATTAGAGATACAATAATGTAAAATCAGAAGCCGGATTATTGAGTCAGATCACTTTCAAGTTAGGCTGTGTAATTTGCAACAGAATTCTTAGAATTTCATAAAGTGGAACTTCACAGAGTTTCCTAAACTGGTGGTAGAAATGTTGCTGGTGGGTGCTTTAGTGTAATAAAAGGGGATTTCTTCACTATCAAGGAGGAATGTGAGATTGTTTCATATACCTATATTCATATACAGAATACTGAAGACTTGTTCCCACTTAGCAAATTAATAAGACAATTTCCCCCCTACAATACAATATTTTTGGAGTTTGCATATACTCACATTTATGTCTTTTCCAGCCCAGTTACACTCTTCCCTCCAATCCACGAGTGCAGGCCAATGAATCTGAAAATAGAACATGTACATTTGTCAAAGGGACTGTCTAGGTCAATTTTTTCATTATATTTTATATATAATGCATTAAAAATAAAATAAAAATATAGAAAACGTACATACCTTGGACCATCCACAGAATGCCCTTTGAGCCCATCTGCAATTGCAGGCCGACCCCTGCCCAAACCATTTTATGACACTCCAATCATGAGCATCTCAGTCTGATCTATAGGGGCTCTTCTTATCCCATAATATAGCCATATAGCCATAGTGGGCCATCTTATAGCAGCAGTGATTTTACAAATTGATGGCACTATAAGCCACTCTTAGGAATGCAAAGTGGTTATAGTGTTTTGACTAACCCTTTTAATTGTAGACAAAAGGCACTAAAGTGGAAAGGTTACCACCTAAAATGCAAACTTACTGTCAAATTATTTTTGGAGATGTTGTCAAGGCTTAGAGACAATAGATAATTTTTCCCCCCAACAAAAAGACGACTGCGTTCCTCATCCAGTAAGAGTGCATCAAAACAGCAAGAACGCTCTACTGTGAAAGTCACAAGTCCATCGCGTGTTACCAGATCTATGGGGGAGGGATAAAATGGGGAAAAGGGAGTTAGTGTGAAAGGACAGGTGGAAAAATAGAAATGAATGAGAAGGGGAAAAAGGTAAATTGAGAAAAAAACAAAAACAAAACCTGGTGAGTAAGTAGAGACATCTAAGCTAAATCATTTTACTGGAGTGCAATAAGCAGACTTTGGCCAAACTCAAAATGTGTTTATGCATTCATCTTGTGCAAATAAGATTTGCATTGTATTGGAAATAAATTTTTTATATAGCTTATAAATAAATAGCTGAACTTCTCTGTATGAGATTAAAACAATACTGTATGTTAAGAGCGAGCTTGTCACTCACTCTTTACATCAGCTAAGCATAAACAACTTTATCTCGCTACTATCACACAGGAATAAATGGGGAGATGATTATCTCCTGCATCAGTTCAGCAAGATGAAGCCCAACCTTGGTGACCAAACTTTTAGGATGGTTGAGCTTCAAAGCCAATATAGTTAACAAACATCTGATTACCATAATCACCCAATCACAAGCAGCAGTCATCAGTCAGTAAATAAAGCAAGCATTCTCTTTAAAGGAACACTATAGTCACCTAAACAACTTTAGCTTAATGAAGCAGTTTTAGTGTATAGATCATGCCTCTCAGGTTTCACTGCTCAATTCACTGCCATTTAGGAGTTAAATCACTTTGTTTCTGTTTATGCAGCCCTTGTCACACCTTCCCTGGCTCTGATTGACACTGGTTTCACTTTCAATCAGATGTAATTTACCTTAAACAATTTTATCTCTTGCTCTGTAAATTGAACTTTAATCACATACAGGAGACTCTTGCAGGGTCTAGCAAGCTATTAATATGGCAGGGGATAAGAAAATCTAAATTAAATAGAACTTGCTATAAAGGAAGGATAAACATTAGATGACTCTTTACAGGAAGTGCTTAGGAAGGCGGTGCTAGTCACATGCAGGGAGGTGTGACTAGGGTTAATAAACAAAGTGATTTAACTCCTAAATGGTAGATAATTGAGCATTGAGACCGCAGGGGCATGATCTATACACCAAAACTGTTTTATTAAGCTAAAGTTGTTTTACTGACTATAGTGTCCCTTTAATGCTCTCCCAACAATTTGCATAGGGGTCCCACAGGGTTAAAGAGTCAAGTGTGTGAAACCTAGTGGAGTGTATGGAATGTTATTGCTTGGGACAATTAACCCCAATATTGTATTGAGGAATCTATGCAAGCATATGAATTATTCTGGATTGTTTCTGTGTGTCCAACTCAGGGCCGTCTTTAATACTGATTGGACCCTGGGCAGGTATTTGATTGGGGCCCCTTGACCTAGCCCTTCCCCTTCCTAGCATGCAATCACGCCATCAATGTCCACACAAAAAATAAAAAAACACACACTTAGCCCTCTCATTTCTTACTGAGACAAAATGCAAACACTGACATACATAGAAATGCACACATAAACAGGTACAGACATACATAGAGAGATACACAGACACACATGTGCATACAGATACACAGATACACTCACTGACAAACATGCAGATCAACAGAAACACTAACACACTGACATACATGCAGATACACACAATAAGATACAGATACATACACGGACCCACATGTAGATACACAGATACAGACATTGACACATATACAGATACACAGAATGATGCACATTCAAATACATAGATGGACACTCACACATATACAAACACGTGCAGATACACTGGCACACATGCAGATACAAAGACATGCAGACACACATAACAAACATAAACACAGATACAAATACAAAAATATACACATACACATATATACAAAGAAACACAGAAACACATACTGATACACAGGGTCACAGAGACACATGCAGATATAGAAACACATACATACAGACACACACATACATACAAACAGATACATACGTTCAAACAGACACATAAATACATACATACAAACACACATACATTTTTTATGTGTTTACTACCTTTGGAGTGCAGGAGTCTGGCTCAGGCTGATAGAACTCAGAGCCCCCACTCTGACTCCCTCTTTTTCTTCTCCTCCTACTGCACGGCGCTCGGGGAATGCTGGGAGGAAGTGACCGGCTGTCACTTCCTCCCAGCATCCTGATATCATCACAGGGGTCCCGGTCGCGCTCTCAGAGCGGCCGGGCCCCTAAAAATCCATCGCCATCAGGTGGCCCTTAGAGCATTGGCCACCCGATGAGCCTCCAAATTGCGCGGCCCGCGGTGGTAGTTCCACGCCGGCCGCTGCCTCACGGCGGACGGAGGGCTAAAGGGGCAGCTGCTTTGGGCCCCCGAAAACTGACTGGGCCGGGGCAGCTGCCCCTTTTGATCCGTGTTAAAGACAGCCCTGGTCCAACTCGTCTGGTTACAAATACGTATCTGCTGGTCCACCCATTGTATAACGGTGCAGAATCTGTTGTTGCTTTATAAATAATAATAATAATAATAATAATAATAATGATAATATAGTAACTATTTTTGATGTATCCACTAAACCAGGAATCTTGAAGTTTACTGCTTACTGGTTCACTGTTTACTGGATACATTCCATTTGTTGTCTCTCTATAGCAGCTCTGAAACTTCTCTCATCTTTGCCAAAAACAATCACTGACTCATTTGATATTGATTTTATCATCTTACAGGTCACTCACCTTGATAAGACAGTTTCAGGCGCGGTGTGATTGTGCTGTCCCCACTGACCACCCAACACATTAATGGCCAGAGACACAGGTACCCCCAGTGGGGTTTCATCTTAGAAATTAGTGTGCTCCCAAGGGAGCATTCAACCTGCAAGAGAAAAATTGAGTCATTAAAAGAGCCATACAGATATGTTCTAAATGGCATATGTATGATAGTGGAAAGACACATTGTGAGTGTTCTGTATAGGGTGAAAGGTTAACTTTGACTCATACCCAGAGACTAGACCTTCCACCATGTCCTCCCTTTCATGGTTCCTCCACAACCATGGTTATTCCTTCCCTCATTTTTATCTATATCCTTTATACATTTAAATATAAATTAAAGGACAGCTGTCACCTCAAAACAATTTTTGATATCATTTCATCAAGTTTTGGAAGGAAATACATTTGCTTTTAAAATGAAGTACATGTAAATAAAAATGAGAAAAACCTATCCTTACCTTCAGTAAATGATAACCAACAGTTAGTCTCTGTTGTCTTTCCTGCTTCCGTGCAGGGAGCAAAGCAAAGAAAACGATCGAGACTAACAGTGTTATTCACTGAAGTGAAAATTCTAGGTGAATTCAAGGTGTATTTCACGTTCAAAGTTAAAGCATGCAAACTAAAAGCATAGCTGGCTAAGAGGATCATTCCAGTTTGGTGCATTTATGTGGCTGGAGGATCGTGTCATATAATAGATGTAGGGATGAATTTTTTTTGTTTGTTTTTTTTTTTTTCTGGGTTTTTTTCTTGCATATATATAATTTAAAAAGAAATCTACTTCCTTTCAAAATTTGGTGAAAGGATTATTATTTAACAAATAGTTTTGAGGTGCCAGTTGTCCGTTAAAGGGTTACATTGGCCCTTTTTGGCACTACAATTGTTTTGCTTTACAATGCTCCATTGGGCATTACCAATTACCATTCCTTATTACTTGTAAGAAAACTTTAGAAACAGAACTGAAATCTAGCGCCATGCAAAGCTCATGACGTTGATCTCCATGCCCCGTCCAGTGGCGTCCAATCAAAGGCTTTTCGTTGAAAAGCCTTTGATTGGACCGCTTTCACCAGCTCAGCGTGTATGCCTGTGCCCTCAGTCAGTGGAGGGAGATGGGAGATAGAAAGGGCTTTTTAAAATGTAAAAAAAAAAAAAAAAAGCTTTAAGGGGAGCGCTTGGACTGCATGGAGGGGTGTGCGAGCTTCCCCTGACAGATGCTCTGATGACAGAAATAGTTGATGCACAGAATTGATATATGGCATTCCAGACTGCCAAAATCATGTGTGCTGGGGATGTAACTAGCCTTCAGCACAGAGGTGCAAATATCTCTGATAGTGCAGCCTTTTTTTTTACAAAACGAGATTCAGTAACAAAAAAGGGCTAAGCACAAGTATTATATGGAGTACCGGAGATGACCTAGAAAAGCAGAAGGTGATTGTTAAGTGAAGGTGATGGAATGAAGAGATTGAGTGACAAATAGGGGAATCATGATGGGAGAAGGAGATAAAAGAGATGGATATCCTACATTTTAGATAAGAAACCATCTTGGCCCACCCATCCTGAACTTTTCTAGTTCATGTCTTTCTCATGTTTAGAACAGATGTGCAGTTGGCAGAAGCGGGTCAGGAACAGGTGGGGCTCCAAGGCTACACAGTCGCAAGGGACCTCCTCCCCTGAATGTGTATTTTTACAGTGAATTAACAAGCTGGCACTGATATAGTCAGAGCAATATAATTCTTTTTTTCGTCCACATAAGATCCTTTAGAAGCTCTTCTTAGAATGCTTAGACTTTAGCATGGTTATAGTTAGACCCCCAGATAGAAGTCATAGGGGTAAATGTCCCTTTTTGCCCATTTTAACACCACCCCTGACTGTAAGTTTATCGCAAGGGTATACTCACTTAGCAGTGAATTGTGTGACTATAGAACTATATAGCAAAATTTGGGATAAATTGCAGAGTTTTGATCATTCTTGTTTTCAGAGATTTGGCATTTTTAACTTTGATTTTGCAATTACGTTTTCAGTTCACTACAATTAGAAATTGTTTTCTCCGAAGCCCATTTCCCGTAGCGTGGTCATAAGGAATGTCCAGTCAACCCGGTCAAATGCTTTTTCCGCATCCGTTGACAATAGAAGGAGCTTATCTGTTGATTTCTTTGCCAGGTGATGGATGGCCTGCACTCTAAGAGTGCTGTCCCTGGCTTCTCTCCCTGGGATGAACCCCGTCTGGTCTGGGTGGACCAATCTCGGAAGCATTTTCCCTCTTCTGGTGGATAGTATTTTAGTGAGGAGTTTCACGTCCACATTTAGCAGTGATATCGGTCTATAGCTACTGCAGAGTTCGGGATCCTTCCCAGGTTTCGGGAGAACCGTTATAGTTGCCGCTAATGATTCGGGTCCGAGTCGGGCGCCGTCTATCAAAGCGTTAAATGAGTTGGTGAGTCTCGGGAGCAGTAGGGTTCGGAACTTTTTATAGTAGTCCAAGGTAAAGCCATCAGGGCCTGGGGCCCGTCCGGTTTTGGCGGTCTTGAGTGCCCCTGCAACTTCTGCCTCCGTAATCGGTATATCCAGGGACTCCGATGCCCCTTGCTGCAACCTCGTCTTCATGTGTGATTCAATATAACTCCTTATTCTATCCCGTCTGAGTGTTACCTCCTCCGGTAGTGTGGGTCCCGGGATGTTGTATAACGAGGCGTAAAATGTGCGAAACTCGGATGCTATTTTGTCCGGGAATTGTGTGATCGTGCCATCTGATGTCCGTAGTTTATGTACCTGGGTCATGCCTTGGGGGCCTCTAAGCATTCTGGCCAGCAGTCGCCCTCCTTTGTTGGCGTGTTGGTAAAAGAAGGCCTTCGATCGTTGTATGGAGCTATAGTGTCGTTTCGTCATGTGTGTATGTAGAGATCTTCGAGCTTCCAATAATTCTTTATACGTCCCCTCGAGTTGTGAACGTTTGTGTTGCATTTCAAGCGTAGTTATGCGCGTTAGCAGGTCGGTTATATGTTTCCGAGATTCTCTCTTCTTCTGAGAAGCTAGGCGCATCAGTGTCCCTCTGAGCACACTTTTGTGCGCTTCCCATATCGTGGTCGCGGGAAGATCATCTGTCTCATTCAGTGTGAAATAGGAGGTGAGTTCCTCGGAAACCTTTTCCTTCACTGATGGGTCCAAGAGTAATGAGTCCTGGAGTCGCCATGACCTAGTGGTTGGGCGTACCCTAGGGGAGTCCATTTGCAGGGTCACAGGACCATGATCCGACCAGCTTGCTGTTCCGATTTCTGCTGTTTGGATAGCGTCAAGATGTTCCTGTTGAAGGAAGATGTAGTCAATCCTTGCGTATCGCTTATGTATCACCGAGTAGTGAGTGTATTCCCTGTCTGCCGGGTGCATCACTCGCCAGCAATCCACCAGCCTAAGGTTCTTTAGTGTTTTTTGAATGCTTCGGATGGCTCCTTGGGTGATGCTGCTATGTCCCGTGGATGAATCTATGAGAGGGATGAGGGGAACATTAATATCTCCTCCAACGATTAACGTGCCCTCCGTGAATGAGGAGAGGTTGGAGAGAGATTTACGTATGAAGTGTGATTGGTTGTTGTTTGGTGCGTATATCGTCACGAGGGTGTACCTACGGTTTTGTATGTCTCCCTTAATGAACAGGTATCTGCCATTAGGGTCAACCAGTCGCTCCACTTCCTGGAACTGTAGTTGAGCATGGGTGAGAACTGCTACACCAGCCTTACGTGCAGTCGGGTGGTTGCTGAGAGCCGCAGTGGGGTAGTGTTTGCTCTTCAACGGCGGAGCATGTCCTTCCTTAAAGTGTGTTTCCTGTAGGAAAGCAATCGATACGCGCTTAGAGGTAAGCTCTCGGAGAAGGTGCGATCTGCGCTCCGGGATATTTAGGCCCCTGCAGTTCATGGTTGTGATGCGTAGAGGGTCAGGTTCGTAGGCCATTTGCGATTGGTGGGGGTGGTTCGCCATGTCCTTTAACGTTTGTTTACTCTTCTAGTCGGTGCCTGGTGTCGGGTGCTGCCCCGTCTCTTTTAGGAAATGCCGTGGGCACGGAGGTGGGTGGGGGGGGTGACGGTAGTGGAGAAGTTGGGGTGGGGGGTTGGATCAGAGTCGTATGGGGAGGGATGAGGTAGGGTGGAGTTTGAGAAAAGATGTAGAGAGTCCCCTAGGCGGGGGTATGAAGGTAGAGGTAGGTTAGCCGTCCCCAGAGGGGGACAGTACGGCACCTAGAGGTAGGTGTCAGAAATCCCTCCTGTGAGGGTTGGTTCGCGTGACCACGGTAGCAGTCAGTAGTCGGGTCTGTCAGAGAATATCTAACGACCTCCAACTATCGACTCTCCATGGTTCGAATTTGTTCACGCGAACTTGGCGGGGGTTAGTGGTCAAGTCCTCGCGTTCTCACCACGTTACGGTGTGTCTACTGTTTGTCGTTACAGGTATATAAGTCCGAGATTACCCAGTGGGTGTGCCACCAGTGTGGGAGCATTTGAGTGTCGTTAGCGTTAGTGTGAGTAATGGGTCTAGTCTGGTGGTATCAGCAGTTATTAGTATTGTCGCTTTTCGTATCCTTGGTTGATGTAGTGCTATCGAGTGGTGGAGTGTTTTTAGGCTGTATGGTCGGTGCCAGGGTCAGGGTCTATATCGGGTCGGGGAAAATTCCTGTGTCTGGGGTAGGGCAGAGTCCTGGTGTGGCATGACTGTCACGTAATGTGCGGGATGTTTGGTTCGCTCTGGGGGTAAGTGGTGTCATCGCCCCCAATTTCAATGAGATAGCTGTCCCGGTCAATATTGTGGTGAACAATTCAAAATGTGCATCATATCTCACAGTACATTCCCTCCCCACCCAAACCGCAGAACAAAACATATATACATCAGTTGCAGCATTGGATCCCCTTCGTGTACCTCCTAGTTCCCATCTTCCTCTTGCAGCACCCTCGTCTCATGTTGGTGTACCTGTGTGTGACCGTATCTAGGCCTGGGGGGGGACGGGGTGATATCGTGTATAGCGGTTCCTACCTAGATCTGCTGTGGTCATGAGCTATCTGCATCAGGTGTCCTACGCTAAGGGATTCTAAATTCCACCTTCCCATTCTCCCGTATCCTCCCCCACTCCACCAGTTTGAACTATTGGCCTAGGAATACAACAATCAGTGTCTCGCTGGCTCTAAACTACCCCCCATGCAGCCCAATACAGTCCCACAAATCCCTCCCCCCTGTCTGCACCCAGCGTAGGTCCGCAACATGCAACCAGCCCAGCGTTCATCACTCCCCCCTGAACCTGTTAGCACGAGTCCTCCAGAGTGTCATGTCTCCGCCAGTGCAGGTATCCAGTTCTGGGTCATATTCTTTCGTCGGTTCCTTGTAGGTGCGGTGGCAAGTCCAGCCAAGGGATCCGACTCGTGATTCTTCAGCTTCCCTGGGTTCCCAATGTGGCTATCTCAAGCCTTCCCCCCCTCCCCAAGAGAGTCTCGTGATAGTGCCAACCCCGCGTGCCACAGGCTATGGAAAGGTGGGTATAAAGTGGGGAGTATCTTGGCCGGTGGGGCCTAGTAGGACTGGTACCAACAGTTCCATCTCCTGTGGTCAAGAGCCTGTTATGTCCCTCCTAGTCCCCATCTAGATTGTGTGGGTCGCTGGGTGTGTGCACACCAGAGGTAGCGTGCGGAGTTGGCTCCTTGGGTCAGTGGGTTGTGGGTACAATTAGAAATTAAACTCAATGTGTTTCATTCCATCCTGTACAACATGTTAGCACTATATAATGTTGTAAACCACTGCGGAATAAGGTGGTGCTATATAAATGCCAATAATGTGAATAATAATATTGTAATTGCATCTACCACTTATGTGCAAAGGCAGTTCCATGGATCCACAGAACATTTTGTTTGCCATTTAACAACTTCAGCACATTCCACTGATAATTCCATTACATTCCAAGAACACCTTCTTGACCTCATGGGTAAATACGGATTTTGGTTTTTTTATGTACTTCCAATCCATAACAGTGTTGCATGGCAGGGTCAAAGAGAGGAAAGAAACACCATTGCCTATTAGGTGCCACATAATTCTAGAATTAACTCTTTCACTACAACAGAATTCAATCCAATTCATAATCCACGACTAAGGGGTGAATTTTGCCTCTGTACATTATCCCCTTCATTTCCACATTATTTTGCGCACACACAGAAAGATCAAAGCATAACTTTTATTTGAAAGAGGCGATGCAGAATTGGATTTATATATAAATGGTTTGTCCTGATAACTTTGGGTGATCTATTTTTATTTTCAAATATTTTCGCTTTTTCATGCTGTTTGCAAAGCTATTTAACAGCTTTATACATAAGAAGAAAAAAGAACACTAATGTCATATTTATGGATTTTTGTTCTCCGTAAAGAAAACTGTTATCATCATTTCATTGCCATAGCAGTGTAGATGGGTTCTATAGACAGCTGTATGAGCATCTGTCCAGTCCCAAACTCACTTGGTCGTAACCCACCACTCCTCACATGCTTCTGACATTTGAAATTGAGGGATGACAATAGATCCATTTGAGGGTGGGGTGGTATGGCTACATTCTCAGTTGCACTATGCAGTCCAGAGTGCCATGTTGACTGTCTATTTTGGTCTAAAATTTGGAATTCACTTTGAATATCAAAACGTCCCACAAACTGACAAGCTTTGGACTGATCACTTATTAGAAGAATTTCTCTAATTCAGTTATTGTGGCCTAAAATTCAATATTCACAGCTCACATTTTAGTGAAAAATACTGTGTGTGTCTATTTTTCTTTATTTGGGGGCTTACTGTGCATGTGCTGCAAATGCCTTGTTGCTCCAAAAATAGAGATCAATTATGCAATGCATTTCTACAGGGAGCATTCAATATATTATTGTTGCGTGTGAAGATGCCAAATAACCTGCAAAGATTGCAGGACTGTAATAGGAAGCACATGTAATGTCTGTCTGACAGCTGCTAGAGGTGTCCTGAGGGATAATATAAACACTGTCTATTCACGGAAAAGTCAGCGTTTACAATGGAGAATGTGCAGTGACAGGTTTTTAGCACAAAAAACAACTGCGATAAACTGCAGTGGTTCTGGTGCTCAGAATGTCACTGTAAACAATAAGTAGATCCTTTTTCTATTTGGCACAGTTGGCACAATGATACTTATTGCTTTTGGCAGTCATAAACTAATTATGTTTTCTCACTGATATACTGTTGTATATTTAACCTCTCAGTAGTTTAGTAGTTTCATGGAGTCTGTTCATGACTGGAATATGCTGGCTCTGGCAAAAGGAACAGAGGATATTAGTTATGGGGTAGATAGGTGAAATGTTGTATAGTATCCCACAAGGGCAGTACTTATTGTCAGGCCCGGACTGGCCATCGGGCATACCGGGCAAATGCCCGGTGGGCCGCGATGGCCGTGGGGCCGAGGCCGGCAGGGGAGATCCTGTCGGCCGGCTCCTGCAGGGCCAGCGCTACCCGAGCGCCGGCCCCGCTGTGTGCCTCCATGGGCCGGTGGGGAGATCAAAGATCTCCCTTTACCGGCCCAGAGACACTTCCAGGCGGCCGCTTGCTGGGGTGTGAGGGAGGGAGGAGAGGACCGGCGGAGCTCTATCCAGCAGCTCCGCCGGGTCCTCTCGCGGGATGCTGAGCGTTGCCGCGGTTACCGCGGCAACGCTCAGATCTCGCCAGAGTGAACTCTAGCCTACAGGCTAGAGTTCACGCTCACCACTAGGACCACCAGGGATCAGGCAGCATGGCTCTCCCATGGCAGAACGGCTCCCCCCCGTCCCAGGCAAAACGGCCCCCCCTCCCAGGCTAAAGGTAAGAAGGGAGGGGGGGGATATAACTTTTTTTTAAAATTATTATTATTAATTAAAAAAAATAATTTAAATTAAAAAAAAATCACACTCACACACATCACCCCCAGACACACACACAGCACCCAGACACACACACAGCACCCCCAGACACACAGCACCCAGACACACACAGCACCCCCAGACACACACAGTACCCAGACACACACAGCACCCCCAGACACACACACAGCACCCAGACACACACACAGCACCCCCAGACACACACATCACCCCCAGACATACACATCACCCCCAGACATACACAGCACCCAGACACACACAGCACCCAGACGCACACAGCACCCCAGACACACACAGTACCCAGACACACACAGCACCCCCAGACACACACAGCACCCAGACACACACAGCACCCAGACACACAGTACCCCAGACACACACAGCACCCCAGACACACACAGCACCCAGACACACACTACCCCAGACACACACACACAGCACCCCCAGACACACATCACCCCCAGACACACAGCACACCCCCAGACACACAGCACCCCAGACACACACAGCACCCCCAGACACACACAGCACCCCAGACACACAGCACCCAGACACACAGCACCCCAGACACACAGCACCCCAGACACACAGCACCCCAGACACACACAGCACCCCCAGACACACACAGCGCACCCAGACACACACAGCGCACTCAGACACACAGCACCCTCACTCACACACAGCACCCTCGCTCACACACACACACACACATATATATATATATATATATACATATTTACAGATATATATATATATAATATATAAAATAACCCTCAGTGAGTTAACAGACAAAGAAAATTAGAATGTGACGGCAGATAAAAACACCCTCACACACAGCACCCCTCTTACATACACACACACTGCGCCCCTCACACATACAATACGTCCAAATATATATATGTATGTATATATATATATATACACACACACACACTACAGCACTACATACATTACGCTCCAGATACACGTTAGATCCCTTACCTTATATGCACTCTTAATCCTCTATACACACACACACACACACACACACACACACAATCTCCTATACACACTCTGGGTCCTTTACACACTAGATCTCCTAC